GCTTTGCTGTCTTTTTGGCCCTAGAAAATGTAAGAACTTGACACATTGAGTATGTTTTTATGCAATACGTGACCCAAGGAACTGCATGGCAGGGAGAGTCCCAGCTCTTCCCTTACTCAGTTGTTGATTTCACACACCTCATTTACCAGGCTGACTATCAGTTTCCTCTTATGTAGCGTGGGATAACAACTTCTACAGCACTGCAGGCAAGATCTCTGATATTGTACCTGCCATGTCTGAACTTTTGAACCTGCTGTACTTCTCTTGCTTTTTGTTCTCCTTATTAAGACTTGAGCATTACCTCATCATATCAGTATCTGACATTGCCAGGTGGTGCCCCTTCCTTGTGCTCCCATGGCCTCTATAACTGTCTCCATCACAGCAGTGATGATTCCATGTGGCAGATCCCAGTTGTGATTCATGTGAGTAACATGTTCATTGGTGTACCTACCATCATGTACAAATCTCCAAACTAGCAATAATATTGGAATGCAACATAAATGTGCTGTATGATATGATGTTAAAGCCATAATAATTTCCATGATATCCCACCTCATAAGACTCCAGCATGTCTTGATCCCTAGCCCAAGAACTGCTATTTTAGTTATTTTCACACCTGCCTCCCTTACTAGACTAGGAGTTTTCAGAAAACCCTCTTCCCAGTACCTGTCACATGAACGAATGGACAGGAGGATGTATGATTGCCCTTGCAGAGGTTACTATGGCACAAAGCCCACCGCTCAGGTTCTTCCCCAACCACTCACGGTCAATAGTGAGCTGAGCCTTCTGTACCAGGTTCCCTGCTTGAACAGAGAACTCGCCACTGTCACTGAGTCTGGCATCCTTTATCTTAAGTGTGTGGGTCAGACCATCCTCAGACACTGAGATTTCATATTTGTCATCCCTCTTCAACTCCTTCCCATTGAACTTCCACACAAAGTTGGGCTCTTTCTTTGAGAGGCGGACCTCAAACAAAGCTGTCTGGCGCTCTGTCACCTTTAGTGGCTTCAGATCTCCTAAGATCTTCAGTGGCTCATCTGCAGCAAAGAATGGGGGAGGTTGAACACAGAAGGGAACATGGATATGCAAGTGTCACTGGTGTTCTGTAGACCACCACTGGGGGGAAGCACCCTTTTTCTTTCATCCCACTGGTGAGCCCTTCTTCTCTGGAGTCTATTCCCAGGGTCTCCTCTCCAGTAATGTTAATAGCCATTTTTTTAAAAAAATATATTTTAGTTGTAAATGGCTCTTTTATTTTATTTACTTATTTTTATGTGATGCTGAGGATCAAACCCAGGGCCTCACACATGCTAGGCAAATGCTCTACCACTGAGCCACAACTCCAGCCCCTAATAGCAATTTTTTAAAACCTTCTAGCCAATTTGCACATATTAGTTCATCCATTTATCACATATATTTTACCTGATTCCACGTTTTACAGTTTTATTTTTACTGAAGAAAAGAAGTTAAATAACTTGCCTTAAATCTTACAGCTCATAATTAGCAGAAGCTGGGATATGACTTTCCAGTAGTCTAGCTTCAGAGTCTGTGCTCTTAACCAGTATGCTACATGTCCCACGGCACTTATTATCTCACAGTCCTCTCCCTTACAGCTTATTTTTTTTTCTTCTATTAACACCCATCTTCTTGCAGTTCTTTCATGCATAATCTCACAGTTTCTTTCCAATATCCCCAAGGACCCCTCCCTGGCCATTCCTCTCCCAGACCCACGTTCATACCCAGCACTGTGAGCTGTGCACTCATCCGCTTATCACCCACAGACAGGCTGTAGACGCCGGCGTCACTCATGTTTACGTTGGTAATCACCAGCATGTACTTGGTGCCCATCTGCTTCACATCATACTTGCCCAGGGAGTATTGGATCCTCAGTGGCTCAGTATCCTGCCTCATGGAACAGGTGGGAAAGCTGATGAAGGGGTTTAGGAGGAGACTTACAGAGCTCCCATTCCCCAAAGCCAGCTTAAGCAGGTGGATGCATTGTCCATCTCTCTAAACATTCTCAGAGGCCCCTATAATCTGGCTTGAGAGATTCCGAATCCCTGTCTCCCCATAAGGCTTAAACTCTTAATATGTATGAGTTCATTAGATGCTTTCTCCTAGAGGCACAGATCTTCAGTGACCTTATGATTATCTAATCTAGCCTTTCAGTGTAAAGACAGGTAGACTGAGGCACAGAGAGAGAAAAGTGACTGTCTTAGATCAAAAGCAAAGTGATGGAAGAGCTAAGAATAAAGTCCAGCTCCCTGCCTCTTTCAACTGTATGAGGGCATTCTCTTGATGGGATGGAAGAGAGGCCCTGGCTTACAGATAATGAGAGGGTCTGAGGACAGAGAGGATGCAAAGAAGAAATTATATTACTAGGGTGGACCCCACCTTGATCCATATCATCTTGACATTGGGGTCCTTCAGCTCCAGGATGCACTCAAAGGTTACTGTGGTATCAATCTTGGTCTCTATGTCTTCCAGGGGCTTCAGAATCCGGATGGCCTGTAAGATTATTTTAATAAAATGGCAAATGTTAGAGCATCTGGAGTATGCCCAGGTGGTTTCCAAAATTCTAGAGGAGACCCCCTAAGGGACTGGGGAGAAATGAGTAGGCTCATTAAATAACTCCTTCCCCCAGGGTCATTGATCAACTAGAAGGTTTAGGAGAAGAATATTATGGGGGATGAGAAAGGAACTGCTATTTGTGAAAGTGACTTTGTATCTGGGCCTATTACACAGATTCTGTAAAGTGTTGATGCTTAATATGAGTTTGTTGAGTGAAGAAATGAATGACAACAACACAAAAACAAATAAAGGAGGAAAGTATAGTTTTCATTTTGCAGATGAGGAAATGGAAACTCAAGAGAGATACTCAAGGTCACACAGCCAATAAAGCAGTAGAGCTGGGATTTGATGCCAGATCTCTATGATTCCAAAGTTCATGCAAGCACACCAGGAAGAGGTAAAGAGAGGAGAGGTAGGAGGAAGTGACTTGAGTTCCTTTCCTGCTCTTGCAGTGGAAAGTAGGCCTCTGAGAATGTGTGTGCAGGTTGGCTTTAGCACTGGCATTGAAGCCCATGCCCTGGCTTGCAGGTTCCAGCCCCCTGCTGGGCACTGACCTCCACTTCCGCTTTCTTCTTCATCCCTTTGAGCTTCTTGAGCAGCCCCCGGAAGTCAGTGAAACCATACTCCATGCAGACCTTTTCAAAGTCTTTCTTGGGCACCTTGGACAAAATCTCCAGCATCTCTTTCTCATCTGTCACTTTCTGCTTCTTCTTGGGGGGTGGAGGAGCCCTGGAGAAAGAGGGGACCAAGCTGTACTAAGTGCCTCCCATCTGAGGACAGAGGGAGCTTTCCCAACTTTGAATCCATGAATTCTTGGAATTCAGGGACCTGTTGAGGGGCCTTTGAAGGCTCCAGCTTGGGTGGGAGAGTGTACCCTGGGCTTCCTAGTCTCACCTCTTCTTCAACATCTTCTTGAAATCTAGTTTTTCTTGACCTGAGGACAGAAAGAGGGGCAATGTCAGACAGAGGGGAGTCTAAGTCTATCTTAAGAGCAAAGGCCAGGAGGAGGGGGCTGTCTCACCCTCTGTCACCAGCAGGGACACGGTGTAGATGGCATCTGCATGGTCATTGCTTGCAATGCACTTGTAGTTGTCGGAGTCATCTGAGGTCAGTGGTTCCAGCTGGATCAGACCATTAGAGGGCACAGGGAGGGAACCACAGAGTGACTTCTTATAAGATGAGGAAAGAGACTTTCTTTGGGGAGGGACTGAGTGTTGGATGGATTGAGCAGCCTCTATGATTTGGAGGTACCAAGTAATAGCTAGTATGAGGATGCCTGTTTTCCACCTGATTTTCTGGTAATAACATTCTCTATTTGCTTCTCAGATTCTGTCCCTGGGTTGAGAGCTCCTAGAAAGTGGGGACTTTCTGACTTCTAAGTTTTCAGCACCAAATGAACATTTTCTTCATGTAATACATTTATTTACTCCTTTGTATTAGTGGCTGTGCTGAACCCCAGGAAACGGTGAATAGGGTTGACTTGGTGCATGTCTGCAGGCGCTTACAGCTGGGTGGGCTCTGGGAAGTCAAGGTAATCATAAGTGCTGCTGAATGAATGAGCTTATGTAAGGGGTGGCCAGTAGGGGGACTCTAGGGCAGCTTGTGTGCTTGTGCCAGGCTGAGTCCAGTTAATGCTGGGATTTGGAAGAAGAAGGAGCCAACTTCTGTCAGAGGGATTCTGTCCTTCTGGGACTTTGGGGGAGAGAGGAGATCTTTTTTTCACAAAGGGATGTGGGGCAGGACCAGAGTAATTATAGGGTCGGGAGTAATTATAGGCCTACATCTCCCAGTAATCCACCATCCCTTTCCTCCAACAGCCTGAAGCCAGAGGTTGAAGCCGAGTACCAGCTCTTGGGAAGTGACCCGGAAGCTGATGGGCCTAAGGCAGGACTTTTCTGGGTCCAAAACCCCCTACGCTCACACTGCTCTGGCCAATCAATCCCAATCCCGGAGGCGCTAATCCTCATTCTCACTCTGCCCACTATGATTCTGCAGCTTCCTCCCACATCCACTGATTTGATCTCTCCTTTGTCTTTGGCTCTCTCACCTTCTGGCCCTGTCCTTCTGACTTTGCCTTAGCTAGACCTTGCTGTGTGGGTAATTTTGGTTCCCTTCTTTGACTGGCAAAACCACAGTTCCTGAGTCAGCTTCTTCCAGCCTGCCTGTGCCTTTAGGGCAACAATGTCCTGTCTTCCCACTGCCCAGTTTTTGGGTTGCCCTTGTGGCTCTTTTTTAGGTGTGAGGAAAGGCAATCCGCCCTGGGTTCCCTGCTTCCCACCTCCTTGGTAATGGACCTTGACATCAGGGCGCACCTTCAGCACGTGCTCCTTGTTAATGCTGTCGTAGAATATTTTAGCGGACTCCTTGATGGGGATGCCACTCTCTCTCTTCCAGGAGACGTTGGGTTTGGGGTTCCCCTGCACCCGTGCTCGGAACACAGCTTTATCCCCTGTGGTGGGCACAGGACACATTTTTACCTCCGCCCACAGGCTAGACACTCTGCCTACTCTCTCCTCTTCCTGAAGATCTGGGCCTAGCCCAGCCATGGGGAGGATACTACTCACTTGGCTCTGCCAACGTCTGTGTATTGGGGAACATTGGGTGGGGCGGGTGAACCTGGGGAAGAAAGGGAAGAACCAGGGGATTGGGGAAAGACAGGCAGTGACACACCCTCAGGTAAGGTGATTGGGTGAGGTTTCTCCACAAACTCAGGGACGCTCTCGCCGGCAGGGATGTTGGAACTCCGGGTCACCAAATTGAAGAACTCCACTGTGCTGGAGGACTTCCTCGTCACGACTTCCTCTGTGGGAGCAGGTGAGAAGTCAGAATGGGCTCCAGGTAGGGAGCTCAGTTCTGGATTGGAGAACTCATTTTTGCTTTAGGGGATGGATGGTGGAGCAGGAGAGCCAAATCCAGAAGGTACAGAACCCACTTTCACACAGAAAGAGGGACCTCAGTGCCTCACACATGCTAGGCAAGCATCTTCTACTGAGCCACAACCCTGGCCCCACATAAAAAATAAAAACCAAAACAAATAAAATTAAGGTGTTGTGTCCATCTAATTTTATATATATATATATATATATATATATATATATATATATATATATATATATATATAGAGAGAGAGAGAGAGAGAGAGAGAGAGAGAGAGAAGAGAGAGAGAGAGCGAGCGAGAGCTTAGTAGATGGGGCATTGCTATGTCAAATTGTAGCCACTAGGGGACGCCAACTCCTTTCCATTCCTCAATGGTCAATCACCTCACTGTTCCACAGCCCTGAATCTTATTATTTTTCTTAAAAAGGAATATTCAGGGACTAGGGATATAGCTCAGTTGGTAGAGTGTTTGCCTCGCATGCACAAGGCCCTGTGTTCAATCCCCATCACCACACAAAAAACAAAACAAAAAGGAGTCTTCCCTGATGTACATCTACAATCTCATTGACTTGGGAAGCTGACTCTTGAGTTGTAAGTGGAAGGCCAGCCTGGGCAATTTAGCAATGCCCCTGTTTCAGAAACAAACAAACAACAACAACAACAACAACAACAGCAAAAACCCCACTTCTATTTTAGGATTTCCTTGTTTTCTCGGACTTCTCTTCTGGAAGTCTTTGTACCTCACTAGCAGTAATATGGGCCAGACCTTTCTGCTTGTGAGGGCTGTAGCTTAGTTAAGCTTGGCTCCAGACTTTCCCCCCTGCCATTCTGTGGATTCATCATTCATTGTCTTGAAAGTAGTGATTTCCCCCAACCTTCATACTGGGAATGGAGCTTTGGGGTCTTCTATCACTGACATACACTCCAACACTTTTTATTTTGAGATAAGTTCTCACTAAGTTGCCCAGGCTGGCTTTCAATTTGTGATCCTCTAGCCTTAGTCTCCAAGTACTGGGATAAAAGGCATGCACCACCATATCTGGTCTCAGAGTGGTGATTCTTAATTGAAGGACAGGATATAGTCCTATTTCAGCAGGGATATACATATGAATCTCATTATTTGAGTATGTTCACTTTTTATTTATTTATTTTTCAGTGCTGGTAGTCCAACCCAGGGCCTTTGCACATGCTAAGCATGTGCTCACTGAGCTATACCTCTAAGCTCCCAAGAGCATATTCAATGTGGTAATATAATTTCCTATTTGGAAAACAAAAAACCTATTTTAGCACTATAAACAACATAAAATCTTCTTAGCTGGTGAGTTATCAACAAATAACAATTGCTCTCATTCATGGGTCATGTTCCTTGTACAAGAAACTATGGTAGGCACATATCAGAGATGATTTTATTTAATATTCACATCATTCTATGGAAGTAGGTTCCTTTAGCATCCCCATTAATTGGAAGGATCAAGATGAGAAAACAAAACCAACCCATAATCCTATTAAGCTCTCATGGTCTTCTTTGAAATAATGACTGGAGTTCTTAAATAGCTGTGTGGAGGCTGTATCTGGCCTGAAGATGTCTTTTATTTGACCTCTGCAATATGCAGACAAAAAAAAAGGCAGCCCTATATCTGAAAACTGAAATAGTTCACATAAAAATTCAGATTGCTGTATTCTCAACACTGAACTCGTATTCCCACATTAACAACAGTCAGTGGGAGGTGAGATGTGGCTGTCCTTTAGATGGAGTGTCCTCTCCAGTTTACCCATCTTTTCCCCACATTTATATTCCCTGCATGGACTCTGTTGGTCAGTAGTTTTCAACTCTGGCTACACATCAGAATCCCTGGAGAGCTTTATGAAAATAACTGATTTAATGGTCTGGAGTGAAACTTAGGTATTGACATTCTTTTCACCTTCTCCACCCACTAAACTAAGATTGCTCTATTATGTGACCAGAGAGGAGAACCATTGATATAAATCACTTGAATTTGCAACTTCTGGTTTAGAATTTAGACCTTGGGTCCTCGCTGTTCTACTTACTCTGCCTCATTAGCCAGGAGTGCTTGGTCTAGAATGTTTATCTGACTTTGACCTTGTGCACAGAGGACTTTGAGAGACTCTATCCTTCTGGAACCTTGAGGGAGAGGCAATGATTGTGAGGATGGCCCCTGGCCATCTTTTAATCACTTTCCACTAGAGACATTAAACTAAAACAGTCTGCAGTGCTCTGAGACCCTTTCTCAACTTTCTCTTGGATCTGTCCTGGCCCAAGTCTGGTCCCCAAGGGTTAAGAACCTGGGAGCTTAGGTCACTTGTTTATGTGTTCATCCTCTCTCCGCTGGTAGCCAAGTCTCCTGTTTCTTAAATGGAACAGTGTCAGCATTATTCATATGAAGATAAGGTGACTACCTTCCTATCTTTCCTCATGTTGAAATTCTACTATGGGAGACACAGTCCATTAGCCTCAGGTCTCCTTAAGCAATTTAGATTTTATCAGTCTTTCACACACATCCATGTGACTGGTTTTTCTTAATCTGTTTTCCTGGATCTATGGGTGAACAACCAGCTGGGTGAAGATTTATCAAGCCCCAGATTAGAAGCACAGGTGGGGAGGGGGTTGCTACTGGTATTGAGGGCTCCTGAGAGGCCCACTAGTGGCAAGGACTGAGGCTACTCCAGGATAGGTATGGACAAAGAAAGCTGCCCCTTCCCAACCCCCCTTTCTCTACTTGCCTCCCACGATCTTGGTTGTCTGGGAGAAGGTCTGTATGTGGGTGGTGGAGCTGGAGAACTCCATGGACACGTGCTCCTGCAGCATCTGCTGGTGGTGAATGGTCGTCATGGTGACAATAGACTTGAGCACTCACCTGTGAGGACCAGGGGAAGAATGAGGCCACAAAGAACATGGGAGGGAGAAGGAGGGTGATTCAGAGATGTTTGTTCATGTGTGAGTGCATGTGTGTGGGTGGGTGTATGGGCAATGAGAATGCAGAGGAAAGGGTGAGGAGAGCAGGCCTTTGCTCTCTGACCTCTCTTTTCTTTACTTCTTATCCCTTTCTCTGATTGATTACAAGTACCAATAGGCCTGTCCCTCACCAGGTAACCCAAAACAATTCCAAGTTCTTAGAAGGGGAAGATACAGGGCTGAGAATAAGTAAGCCAACCACGTAGGGTCCATAGGGTGTTGAGGATACCTGTGGACATGGGCGCTTTACCAGGAGGTAATGACGCAGGACCTGAGAAGGAACTTCCTGACTAAGCCATGCTGGCACATGCCTTAGAAGGAACCTTTGGATCTTCTCTCTGGGTCCTAGGGACCCCTGGCTTTGGTGGAATGCTAAGATAGATGACCATTCATTCCCACAGCTTTGCTTTCACTTATGACACAGTAAAGGCAGAGGCTTAGTTTATATTCATTATAATTTTATAACATATATAAGTATAGTTCAACCACATTAAAAAAGAAACTAAAACATCTCCTCCCCACTCCTGGGTGCCCCATCTCCCATGCTCTCCTGAGAGGTTACCGTATGTAGCCTTTAGGCTCCTTCATGAGAACACGGATGTATGTTCTTTTTTTTTTAATGCCTGGCAGTCTATTATACACACTGTTCTGCTCCCTTTCATTTTTTACTTAATATTATCTTGGAGACCTTTGCATGCCAATTCATAAAGAATTTTTTCATTCTCAACAGATCCACAGTATCCGATAAATGTAAATACCTGCCTCCTTTAACCCGCATATCAATTTTAAACCCTTATTTGGTATATGAGGAAAATTATGTCTAAGAGAAATGACCTGTCCACTGTCCAAGCTTACTCAGAACAGGGTCCTAGCTGCCGCTGCTTCTTCTTCTTCTTCTTCTTCTTTTTTTTTTTGTTGGAAATTAAACCCAGGAGTGCTTAACCACTGAGCTATATCTCAGGCCTTTTTTTATTTTTTGAGACAGGGTCTTGCTAAGCTGCCAAGGCTGGTTTCAAACTTGTGATCCTTCTGCCTCAGACTCCCAAGTCACTGGGATTACGGGTGAGTGCCACTGTGCCTGGCAATTCATAGTTTCTTGGCTTTCAGGCCAGTGGCCTTCTAGGGAATCAAAAGCCTTCTCCTGAGCTATGTGGTTTGAGACTACCCTCCTATCCCACCTCATTTAAACTTCTACCTTTGGGTTCTGAGACCACTTCCCTGTCCCCTTAGGGGCTCACAAGCTACCAGCCTGTGCCCCCTTCCAGGGGCATGAGGGAAGCCTTACCTTCTGAACTGACCAGTACCTTCCAATACTTGAATGCTGTATCCACAGCTTGGGGTTCAGCTGGTGCCCGAGCTGTAGGGTGTCCGTCTCCTTCTTCTTTGCCCCAAAAGCGGGCACTGAGGATCATCAGTTCCTTAAATACCTGGCCCCCTGGGGGGATCCCTTACTTAGACTCTTACCTCAGCGGGATGGCACACAGCTTCAGGGGTGAGAAGTTGGGGAGGGAAGCAAGCTGGAGGGCTGGAGGAAATACTGGGGACCAGGTGGGAGGGAGGCAGAGGGTGGTGGTCCCTAAGTACGTTTTTTGTTCCTTTGTGGTAGAAGTTTTGCTTCTCGCTGCTGCTGAGTGGACTTCTCTGAGCCGAAGTTCTCATGTCAGTGTGTGTACATGTACATGCTCAGGTATATGTGCATGCACAGTCCAGCAGGGGTTGGGAGCAAAGCCACAGGTCTTTGTTTTTCTGGGATGCACTGGGGAAGTTCTAGGGTATCTGCCACTTGCACCAATCCAAGGGGCTGAACACTACCATGTGTGGTGCATGTGCGGCCTAAGCAGAAAGGAGAGGATTTCTGTACAATTTCTGTAATCTGGGTAGAGGGGCACATCCTTTTGGAGGGAGATCTCTATTGGAGGGTAGCTGGAGAGCATGCCCCCTTCTCTGGGACCTCCATGAGAGCTACTTCAGCCACCCCGCTGTTCTTTTCCTTGTCTGTAGCATACCCTGCACATCTGGACCCACAGCCAACCCACTCAAGGTTCTAGTATCTTGCAAGGCTGGCCAGAAGTCCCACCCTGCACCTCGTCCTGCCCTGGGGTGACCCCCGTCTACCTTCAGTGGTGTCACGGCTACTTTTGCTCCATCCCATGGGGAAGGGGATAAGAATAGAGCAGGAGTGTCTGGGATGGCTTAGGATCAGATTCCCTGGGTCCCTTGGGAGGGGTTACTCTCGGTCCAGGCCTTACAAGGGAAATTGCTGGGCTGCAGCTGCTGTTGGGACTGGTGGGGCTACCATGGGATATATGGGCTGACAACAAGGAGGGGCCTAAGTGTGACCTGAGTGTCCCCTTTTCCCAGCCCTGACCTCTCTAGCCCATCTGTTGAACCTAGTGGCCTGCCAGATACTGGGCCTTCTCTGGAAGCATCCCATACCTGTCTTTGAGGCTCCCCATGGCCTAGGGCACCTAGTGGGCTAGGGCTGAGAGTGTGTGAGAATCTTGCAGAAGGGACTTTCAATTTTGGATTTGAGTCTCCACAAGGGGCACCAGTGAGCATGAGCGCCCAGCTGTGTGTGCCTGTGCTGGGAAAGAGGGGCACACAGCCCCATGGAGTGCAGGGGACAGGTAAATCACAAAGACCTGGGAGGCTAGTTTTGCTCAAAATGCTCTGTTTATTGCTCTATTCAATGACCACGAGCGAATTATAAAAAGACACCAAATGTCTCTGTCTGCCGTGGAATAAATATTTAAAGTCATCAATAAAAACACGTGGCTCCAAGATAACACATGTTGCCAAAGAGTCATGCATGCCCAGCTGATGGGCTCTCACCACACGCATGGACACAGGAACACACGCAGAGCGACACACAGCGAGACTTTTGGGAAGGCTTTTCCACAGTGACAGAAAAATGTTTTACACAGATCTGGGGCCAAGTCCCCGTCCCACCCTTGGAGCTCCCCTCCCCAGCCCCCCGTCAGGGCCCAGATCTTTGGGTTCCCCACCCCCATCTGTCCCCTTCCAATGCATCCTGAGGGCATGTGACACCAAGAGGTCACCCTGGCTGTGACGCCCATCCCAACCCAGAGACCTTCCCTAGCTGGGATCTCTGCCAAACCCTCAGGAGCTCCCCAGGCCTGGCCTCCATGTTGTCAGCCCCATCCTCTATCTACTGGTACCAGTAACTGGGTGCAAAATGCAATTTGCCTGTTGGGAGAAGTGGGAATGGGGGCCTGAGGCAGGCACCTCTGCCTGGGCTGCTTAGGGGCTGGAGCTCATTACTCCTTTCCTGGGCTGAGGAGACACAGTGTCCGGTATAGACAGCAGAGATGGATGGACAGACAGAACACACTACAGCAGGAGGACACTTGGAGTGAGGCATGGAAACATTTTGGATCAAATAGCAATGGAACCATCATTAAAAACTGAGGCCCCAGGTCTGCATGGTGGGTCAGGCCCTGGGGCCCCAGGCCTGGCCTGGCACATTCCTCCCCCACCCTGCCACACTCCCCAATATGTACAGAAGGAAGAGCTATGCTGGGGGTAGGGGCCAGGCCAGGCTAATAGAGGAGGGAGGGAGCAGATCAAAGAGAAGGAAGAGGGACAGATAGGATCAGGGGAGCAGGCCAGACCCAAGTAAGGCCCTGGATGACTGTAGTGAGGGCCCAGACTCTGGCTGGGCAGTACCCAGTTGGACCTTGGAAGAGAAGTGTGGTCATTCTGGGGATTGGCGGGACAGCTGCTTCTCATAGAGGCTCATGACATGGTGCACAAACTGGTACTGCTCACACGTCTGGATCATGCCACCCCTGCCCAGCAGAGATGCAAAGTGGGATGAAGTCACTAAGGGATGAGTTATAGGAGGGGGCCCCCAAACCCATGGAGTACTCATCATTCGTGAGGCATGCCAGGGGACTTGTGCAATTGGAGGGACCAACCCTTGCCAGCCAATGTCCCTGATCTTTCTTGTCAGGGACCCAGATGATAGGTCCCATGCTCTTGGCCCATCCTGTCTGCCAGCTCTATTTCTCTTTCCCTTTTTTCCAGAAGAGGAATCATCTGGATCTTGCCCTTCTATCTGCTGTCCTCCATATTCCTTATCTGCCCATTAGCCCATGCCTGGTGTGTCATCTTCCCTCACCCCTGTGTACCCATCAGTGTCCCTGTGTGCCCCCACCACTGCCTGTTGGGCTGACCTGTCCTGACGGAGCTGGCATGTGGTCTTCAGGATGTCCACCACACCTTCCTGCCGCAGCTGCTGGCAGCAGATGCTGGTGGCAATGAAGCAGCCGGTCCTCCCGATCCCTGCACTGAGGGCCGAGGGGATGGGCAGGGTGAGGGGAAGAGTACCCAGGGATGGGGAGGGACCCTATCCCAGTGGGTAGCTAGGAGAACCCACCTGCAGTGGACGATGATGGGGGCACAGTGGGGCCCCTCCTGCTGGGCTGCCTCTTCCACCTCCCGTACTAGGTGCAGGAGTGGGGGAGCCCGGTCTGGGGTCTTCTGGTCCGGCCAGGATGTGAACCAGTAATGCTTCAGGCCTCGCTCTTCGGCCCCACTCTGCCCAGGAGACAGAGGCCCACCCCAGATATATGTGAATGCTTTCAGCCCACAAACCATCCAGAGATGGAGATGGGGTGCAAGGAGGATAAACATAGGAAGGACACAGGAAGTGGGAGCCCTTAGCCCTCCCATCTACACCATACTGCCCAGGGACACCAGATGGGCAAAAGTCAGCTTGGTACTGGGGGCTGGTCTTTAGTTCTGCCCCAACAATTCCAGAATTATCCGAGAGAGGCCAAGAGCTCCTTCTCTAAGTCATTACTGTCTCCAGATTCCAAATATCCTAGTTGTCCCTTAGTCATATGGCCCAGAGGCCTGTGACTCTTCCTTTCTCCAGATTTTGCTCTGCTTGCCTCATCTCACCATCCTTATTAGGTGTTATTTCCTCTCCACTTTGACCTTTACCATCTCTCCACTGCACTGAGATCCCATCTCCTCCCTAACCACACAGGGACCACAGAGGTTGAAGTGGTCTGTTTTTCCATAACACAAATCTGGATTTGCCACTCTGTGCTTAAAATCCTTTGCTATGGACTGAATGTGTCCCCCCGCCCCCATTTCCCCACACCAAATTCACACATTGAAACCTATTTCCCAGTGTGAGGGTATTTGAAGATGGGGCCCTTGGAAGGTGATTCAGTCCTGAGGGCAGAACCCTCGTGAATGGGATTCAAGTACTTATATAAAAGGCTCCAGAGAGCTTCATCTTTTTGCCATGAACCAGGAAGTGAGCCCTCAGCAGAACCTGACCATGCTGCTGCTTTGATCCCAGACTCCCCAGCCTCTAGAATTGTGAGAAATAAGTCTGTCATTTATAGGCCACTCAGTCTGTGGTGTTTGTTATAGCAGCCTGCACAGACTAAGACACCCTTCAATGGCTCTTATTGCTCTCTGAATAAAACCCATTCCCCTTAGTTCTTAGCTTGGCAAATGAGACCTCTGGCATAGGCTCTACCCTTCCAGGCATATATGCCACCCTGTGTACTTGAAATGGATGCTCCTGAAAATGGTCTGTGGATAAAATATCTCTAGCACAGCATCTGGATGCGTGCACATGCCCAGCAGCGCGCGCGCAAACACACACACACACACACACAGCTGTTTCTCTGCTGGGAATGCTTTTCCTGCTTGTCTGTCCTCAGTCAACTCTTACTCATCCTTTGAGTGTCCATTCAGCATCACTACTTCAGCATCTCCCTGAACATGCCAGCTAGCAGAGAGTCCTTCTGCATTCTTATCTATCTCTAGCTTCCTTATCACCTTCTGTGTGCTTCTTGAGCAGAGTTCAGGCTTTGGACAGCTGTGTTCCCAGGATCCAACCCAAAACCAAGCTCAGGGCAGGTGCTTTTAATGGTTTATGGACAAAAATAAATACCCTCAAACCTCAGATGCCCTGTTTTTTTTTTTCCTTGACCAGCTCCATGGCATTGAGAAGATGAGGCAGCCCCCAACCCTCTCATCTCAGTCTTTCTTTCTGGGAAATTTCTACTTGGAAAGCTGTTCCTCAGGTCCTTGGGTAACTTGACTGTGACAACTACTATAACCTCTGATCTTTACTCCCTGGCCCTTCATGCCCTCCAGAAAGATCTATAGGGGCTGCTATGGTGGGTACTCCCCTCTGGGGGCTGAGGTGCCCCCTGACATTCCTTTACAGTGGAAGAGGGACAGCTCAGAGGGACAAGTTTCAGGCCTTGAGCTCACTTTCTGTGGCTGGACCCTGTGGCTGTCACCACTGATGGACTTCCCAGGTTGCTTGCAGATTGGGTGTCACCTTCTTGGTGCCTGCCTCATCTCTTCTTCCCTTCAGAGTTGTTATTAATAGAGTCTACTTCCCCCAAACTTGAATCTTATCGTTTTTCAAAACCAGAACTTATTAATCTCCCTGATTCCAAAGGAACAGTCTCTTCTGTTATGATGATCCTGGAGGAAGTACAGCTCAGGGTGGGAGGATTCCTTCCCCCACTCTGGGCTGTTTTGTATTGCTCATATTTTGTGTAGCTTCCTTTTTCTTGACATTTTCTGTTAACCATGGAAGCGCCTGACCCCTGGTGGACATATTGGGTATTACATACCAGAAGCCCAGCATCCAAGTTGAAGTGATGTTTCTAGTTTGCATCTCAAAGTCATAATGAGCCTTTAGTTATAAGGACAATGCTGGAGGTTGCTGAATTCTCTCACCCAGTCTTGGCCTAGGGAGCATTTAAAGCTGAGCTAAAAGTCATTATGAATGGCAGCGTAGAGAATGAGCCCAACAGCATTAAATGCAACCACAGTTTGGGAAATGCAACGGGGGTTTGATCTGGCCTCTCCATTCACCACTCCCTCACCCTAGCTCATCAGTGAATTCTGGGAGTGACAGAGACCTTTACATCAGCTACACTGTACTCTTGGGCCTTGTTCTCTGTGGAGTCCTCAATTAAACCCCCATCCCCCATCCTACCAGCCCAGCCCAGCCCCAGTCTCACCCTGAGGGAGATGAGTCGTAGCCGGTAATCCTCTGTGTGAATGACTTTCTGCACAGTGATCTCCACGCCGTCATGCACCACCTGCTCCTCTGGCCAATACTCAGTGCATTTCTGCAGGGGCCCAGATCAGGTTTGGATATATCCCACCCCCAACCCTGCTTCCCTCTTATTCTCTCGCTATGATTCTTCAGAGCTGAGGAATATTCAAGTTTGCTGTCAACATTGGGTGTAAACCTCAGCTTCATCATCTAAAAGCTAATTGTCTTCTCTGAGCCTCAAGTTTCCCCATCTGAAAATGGAAATAATACCCATTTTGAAAGACTTCTATGGGGATTCAATTGAATGGGTTACTATTCCATATAGACATAGTCCTGGCAGCCTTGTACTTACGATCATGTGCACTGGAGTGGGAGAGACCAGGTCTAGGCATTGCCTCTGAGTGTGTGGCACTGAGCAAATGATTTAACCTTACTGAGCCTCACATCTCCTCATCTGGCCAGTGGAGCGAACACTACCAGTCTCACAAGATTGTCATAAGGATTAATATGAAAACAAGATGCTTGGTGTAGGGCACAAAAAAAGCAGACACTGGCAAAGTGGGGTCCCTACCTCGTTCATCTCCTCAATGTTGGTGATCATGACAATGATGGGCGTGTGCTCCTGCCACACCATGCGCCAGAAGTCAGCGATCGTGCTGACAATGGGTCCCTGTGTGGCGATGTATACCTTCTCCTCTCCACCGTAGCCCTGTGGCCAGCCAAGTCCAAGGTCAATGTCAGAGGCAGTGCTCTCAGGGTCCTGTCCCCATCCCAGGCTTTTCTGGGGTTTGCAGGAGCCAGACTGGAGGATGGGGTCCCATCAGCTCAGGCCTCTCTTTCAGTGGGAGGCCATTGGGATGGGGCTACATACCCGGATGTAGTTGGCGTTGATGTAGGAACTCAGAGGATCATCAGGGTCGGGCGAGGTGAGACACACTCTGCTATGAGGATCTGTGGGGGACAGGGGAGGCTATCCCATCTCTAGTTCACTTAACCCCCTCATGGGTGCTGCTAGGGCCCACCATTCCTGGTCTACTCCAAAGCACCACATTTCTTCTGCAATCCTACAGTTCTTCCTTCTCCTGCACACTAGCAAAATGATGACCCATCCTTGGTCCATTCAGGCAGGTGATAATCCAGGATGAAGAGGAGGACGGAGAAAGAGGCCCTGGGTCTCACCTCAATGCCTGCCCTCTGCCCCTGAAGCTGCCCTGTACTCACTCACACCTTGTATTCTGGAGTGAAGAGAGCTAGTTAAGGAAGGAATGGCCTGGGTACAGCGCCTGGGCAGCAGGCAGCAGCTGGAATACGAGAACACACTGTCACCGACTTCTCCGTGAGCTTATAAAGCACATGGCCTTTTTAAGCCTCTGTTTTCTCATCTATAACATGGGGGTAAGTATACCTCCTTCCTAGAGCTATTGGGAAAATAAATGAGAAAACAGAGGTGGAAGTGCTGAATAAACTGTGAAATTCTTTGTAAATATAAGGGCTTTAAGATTTGGGGGTAGAAAGCTGAGGAGAATACTAGGAGAAAAAGGTCAAGTTTCCCATGTCTGAAATGAGACTGGAGGGTCTTTGTAGAGTTGTGAGCACAAAGGGTCTCCTCCCACAATCTTTTTACTTGTCAAATTCCATGGTAACAGATTCCCATAACATCTTGTTCTTCTTCCTGGAGTAGAATTTGTTTTGTTCCAGCCAGAGCCTCCCTGTATTGACTAGTTTTGAGAGGCTGGGATTGGGACGTTCTGTGGGGTGTGTAGGGAAGCTGGCTGGGGGCCTGGAGCATTGGGTCCCGGTTGTGCTTTGTCACCAGCCTCCTGTCTTGTCCCCTCTCTGAATCTCAGTTTCTCCACTGCAATAGGGAGGGCTGGAAAGGCACTGCCAGTGTGCACATGATGGGGCTCTCAAAGGCAGTGTGGGGGTGTCATTAAGAGACATGACTGAGCCAGAGAGCCTGGTCCAAATCCTGGCTCTATGACTTCCCAGCTTGTCAACATGGACCATTTACTTAACCTCTCCTGCCTTATCTACAACTGGGGACATCCTCCTTCTACAGTGAACTCATTTATCTTGTAAAGGTTAAAGACTCTAACATTAATAAATGGAGCCTTTAGATCAGTAAGTAATGTGGGCCACAGTAGACACCACGAGCTAGCTGTTCTTGGGACCATTTTTACATGTTTTACCTTAACTGAGTGGATAGAAAGAAGAAAACCTGGCGCAGCAGGAGGGGACATGCTTAAGTCTCCCCCATCCAGCCCTCTGCTTGTCCCAGTTCACTCTCTGGATCTTGGTCAGTGTCTCGGGGGTGGGCACATTTCATGGAGGGGGCATAGAAGGGTGGCAGGAATGGAGAGGAGAGAGGGTGAGCAGGAGGGGGCTTCTGGGTGAGGAGCAGAGGACAGGAGCAGGAAACTCTGCCTGGGCCATCTCCCTTCTTCCTAGCTGCCCTTGCCCAGATTAGGTGCCAGAAAGACAGAAGTGGGCACCGTCCCCTCTGGTCAGATACCCAGGTCTTTGGTATTAAAGAACTATTGTGGCAATGATGGCCCTTATGGAGCACTGACTCTGTGCCTGGGGCTGTGCATGTGAGAAGGGACTCCTAAAGCAATAAGCCACAGTCCCTCCCCCAAAGAAGGCACAGCGTTGGGAGGCAGACAAGTAGTGGCGTGTGAGCACTGGGGCTGTGGTAACAGCGGGGGGCCTGGGTGGGTGGGTGGGTTTCCTGGCTGGAGTTGAAGGAACAGCAGAAAGAACAGGGAATCCTGTCCTGTCAGATACAAGTGCACACAGGGCCAAGGCTGGGATTGGTGAGAGATGTGGCTGGAGAGGAACCAGCTGCCAGAGTCTCATAAACTATGCTTAGAAAGGGTGACAATGACAATGTTTAAGGAGAAGAAGGACATGGTTAGATTTGTTTTGTACCACTCTGATGGCAAGAGTAGAAGACAGACAGGAGAGGAGAATGTGGAGTCAGGAGACCAGTCAGGAAATTACTATGATGATCCAAGAAAGAAATATCAAAGGTCACAGGGCTGCCTGGCATGGCAGGGCTCTGTGGAGCATTTATGTCAATGCAGTCTATGTAAATGGCACCCCTTAGGACAGGGCAACATGGAAGCTCAAACTCCAAAAAGTCACTTTGTGGTGAGGATGGAGAGGGGAGCGAGATTTGAGAGATATTCATTCTCATTCATTCGTTCATTCATTCAAATGGGTGCAGAATATCTACTGTGTGTCAGGCACTATTTTGGTGCTTGGGACACCATGGTGATAAGAACAGAAACTGTGTCCCTGTATCTGGCTCTTGGTGCTGCCGGGGTTAGTGATTCCTCTGACTGTCCATAGACCTCTCTCTCCTACTAGCCTGGGAGCTCCAAGTGCACAGAATCTGTGTCTCATTCATGTCTGAATTCTTAGACCCCAGGCAGGGGCTCAGAAAACATAGACGAAAGAAGAAACCTCAGGGTGTTCTGCATCTAAGAGGGGGGCCCCTGCTAAGCTTGACCTGCCCTCTGTCCCCCAACCCAGTCTCTGAGGGTGAAGGATCTGTTCTTGCTGGACACAGATAAGATTCTCTGCTGGGCTGGCTTGGAAGCCTGGAGGCTCGGGCAGGGTTGGAGGTGGCTGGAACCTGTCAGCAATCCAGTGAGGACCACATGGAGCACGGTCTGACTCCAGTGGCCATTCTGAGTGGCCGGCAAAGCCCTCCTCTCCACTCTGGGGTGCCCCCACCCTTCCTTCCAGGTAGAGCTGGGAAAGGGGAGGGAGAGATGAGGGAAGAGGTGGCAGCCCTGAGTAATGCATCCTGGCCATAAATGGTGCTTTGTTTAACCGGAACTACCTAGAGACTGAGTAACTATAGCAACCACAAGTCGATATTTTAAAAGTTAAAAATAAGTTATGACATCTTACATGTTGTTGGAGATGCTGACAGCGAAACCACTTTTTTAAAGCTTCACTACTCTACAAACTGAGTGGAGTAGGTTTTGGGGGCTCCACTTTCAACAAGTTACCTCCAGGTTAGCCCAGGTGCCTGGGGCCAGACACCTGGTCCCAATCCCTGTAGTAGATAGCCAGGGATTTGATGAAAGTTATCTGAAAATGGTGCCACGGGGAGGAAACTGGAATGCATCCCCAAAGGAGAACCCCCTTCTCAGACCTTCCAGGGGACTGCTCCGGGCAGATTCGCTTGGATGCATTGTGTTATGGGACCTCACGACTTGACAGGGGCAGCTCATTCCCCTGTGGGGTGGCTCTACCTGATGGAGAACTGACAATCTGATCAAATGGAACATGAGGTAGACGAAGAGTCCAATTCTGGGGTCACCAAACTCAGCTCTGTACTTCCCAGCTATGTGACTGTGGATGAGCCACTTAGCCTCTCTGAGCCTTAATGTCCTCTCCTTAAAACCTGCCCATTCTGAAGAGAGAAGAGGATGGGAAAACACTTTTCAGTCACTATATACTATCTAGGAGCCTCCCTTTGTCTCTGGGTTTCTACAGAGCCCAGCACAACACTTGGCCAGGCCAGGCAAGGGCTAGGCCAAGGGCTGTGTGAGAAAATGAACTGACCTTGGTCACCCCAGCCCTCCATATGGTGCCCTCCAGGGATGAGTGTCCTGCCACCCTGGAGACCCAGTTCTGGGCTTAAGTCTTCCCAGGTGAGGGTGAGCCTGTCCCCATACCCCTAGGGCAGTGACTACTCACTGGGAAGGATGGTTTTGTAGCGGTTCTTCCGCACCAGCCCAGGGATGTCGTACTCTTTTGGATCCACAAAGTTCATGGGGATTTCCTGCAGGAGAAGGACATGGGGGTGTGAGCAGCTGTGGGCTGGCTCTTGAAGATGTTCTAACCAGGTGCTGCTTGCCCTCAAGTTTTGTCGGGCTACTTTAAGTGCACTCATTCATTCAACAAACATTTACTGTTAAATGAGTTAGTACTCGTAGGGCATTTAGGATAGTGACTGGCACACACCAAGAGCATGACACATGTTATAACTAGTGTTTATTGAGGGCCACCCTGGCACATGGCAGACGCTCAGCAAGTGATGAATAAATGAAGAACAAGACAGAAGTGACAAGGCCAATCGCTGCATTCTTCCATGTTCTCTGTGCAACAGCGAAACCAGGTGGCTTCACTGAATTATGTGCCCACCCTATGCGTCCCTACCTTGGTGGTGCTGCTTTCCTGCCACACCTGCCCCACCCATATCTCCGCATGCGTCTATCTGAAAGGCCGAGGCCTCTGAGAAGCCTCCTGAGTCTGCAGCAGAAGGGGTCTTCTGCCGAGCCCCCAGGACTGTGTGTGCCCCTCCACCTGTCCTGTGTCCAGAGCTCCACGTCTGCCCTCTGCTCCTGGCATGCAAAGCCTCCCTGTATCTGGCCCCTCTTGACCTCCAGTTGTGCCCGTCTCTTTGCGGCTAGGACCATGCCATTCACAGTCCTGCCTCCAGGCTGAGCTTGTGGCATTCCACTCGCTGGGAGCACTGGTCTCACCCTCCATCTTTCCAAATCATTCCAATACCTTAAGGTTCACCCCAGCTCCCCCTCCCTAAGATGTCCTCTGGGACTTTCTCCAGTGCCTCTTGCCCCTGTGCTCCTTCTGATCTGTCCACACGGTTTACCACCTGAACACAGTGTCCCATTGTTTGTTGTTTCTGGACAGATTATATGGGCTGTTGTAAAATGCAGATCATGATGCCTTCCAGGGTTGTGAGAATCCAAAGGAAACAAAAACACACATGTGCAAAACTACCCATGGAGAGGGTGCTCAGGCCATGTTCCTTGCTCTCTGGCAAAAATCTACAATACTCAGGCTGGGGATATAGCTCAGTTGGTAGAGTGCTTGCCTTACATGCACAAGGCCCTGGCTTCAATCTCCAGCAACACCCCCCACCCCCCCCAAAAAAAAAAAAAAACCCAAACCCCCCAAAAAACCAAAAACAAAACCAAAAAAACAAAACCCAACAAACAAACAACAACAACAACAAAAACCTACAATACTCTATTTAACAGAAAAGGACATGGTGGATGGAAGCTATTTCTTCAAGGGGAGAAGGTGGGTGGGAGCCTGGAGTGGGAGTTGAGGCTGGCTGTTAAGAAAGCCTTTCCAGAGGCATCAGGTGGGGAAAGATGTGAGGAAGAAATAGGGATGGGGACGCAGGCACAGGGCAGCTGGCCCAACTGTAAGTGCACAGTCCCTGCAGGGGTGGGATGGGGCTGGAGCACAGGCTGGGAAAGGAGGTGGGGATAGATCAAGCAGGCGGACCCATTTCTTCTGCAGGGTGTCAAGTTCTGGAGAACCTGGAGCAGTGGGTCTGAGGGTGCTGGTGGGTGAGTCATCTGATTGATGAAGTTGATTGAGGAAGTGGGCTTCTGAGCCTCAGCCCCTTTCTTCTTCCTCCTCTTGGAGGCCTCCTGCCAAGAAAGAATGATGGAGGCACCCCATGGGGCAAGGTCCACCATGGGCCAGCACTGCCTCAGTGGTGGGAAGTTTGTGTGATTCTGGGGCTTGGTATCAGGAAGCTTACTCTTGCTGTACCTTGTGCAGCCTCATTTCAAACCTACCCTTTCTGCCGTAAAGGTGTCACTGTGATCTGCCATGTTTTAGCTCTTTACTGGCTGTGCACTCAGGCAGGTGAACAGGGCTGTCATTGATTGGACCCCTCAAAGTCCAACAGCCAGAGGCTGTTGCAGAGGCTGCAGGAGGAGATTAGGACCTAAGCTAGAGCCTTAGGGGTGGCAAGGAGGGGAGGGGACTGGAGAGATGTCAAGACAATGTACAATGCTTAGGGATGTCAGGCCGGAGGAGGGTGGGAAGACAGGAGGATAGGAAGTTCAGCTTTCTGTGGCTTTCAGAGCAGAGTCCTGGCAAAGACCTAGGAACACCATAGCATGCCAATCACCCAGCTGGCTACTTTGCACATAGTAATTAATCTCCATAATCCTATCATTTCATCCCATTTTCCAGATGAGGACACAGAGGCTCAGAAAAAAATCAGTTTGCCCAAGGTGGCAGGAGAGCTGAGAATGAGGTGGTGCTCATTACTCCAGATGCCAAGTCTGGGCACTACCCACAACCTGGCTGGCTGGATGAGTGATATGAGTGGAGAGTCCGCCTACAGAGGGTGGCAGGCACAAGGGGACTCACAAAGAATTCGGCCTGTAGCAGGAAAGGGTCCAGGGCCTTTTCATGGAGCTCCTCTGCTCGGAGGACGCGGGAGGCACTGAGCAGGTACTCGTGGGCTGACTCCTCACGTGGGGACACGAGATAGCCGAAGCCTTCCTCATTGCAGCCTGGGGTGCACATGTCCAAGGTCAGGGAGACATTGGAGCCCCTCCTGGAAGGACCGAGAAGGAGGAAATTAATCTTGGGAAGGGACAGGCTTTAGCTGGGATCAGAGGAGCAGGGCTCGAGCCTAAGATGGCTCCAAACCTCTGCAACACAGCTCTGGGCCCAGTCCTGACTGAGGCTGCCAGTGGGTCAAGAACACATCCTCCAGGAGAGGTCAGGACCCTCAGGAAAGGAGGGAGTCCCAGGGGCAGCTCAGTGGCAGCAAGGATAAGTTCATGTGTCCAGTAAACCACAAAACAGAAAGGACCCCCTCTACACAGAGATGGAAAGTGAGTCCTTATGAGGGGACCGGGGACCAGAGACCCCGAGGCTCTCATTGTGGCAGAGATGAAACACAAAGCTGGGTTTCCTGCCTCTTCATCCAGTGCTCTTTCTCTGACGTCATGGGGATTACTCGGTGGTGAGACCTGGCTTACGCAGTTAGGGTCTGAGAAGAGGATTTCACACCTCCAAAGTGCTCTGCAGAATACTGAGACACTTTAGAAAAGGGTTCTGTGGCCAGACTTTGGGAAATGCCACATACTGTCTCCTTGCTGATTTACAACGAACACAGGCACACTAAAGGCCCTGACGAGTCCTGCAGTAAGGAAAGCTACCGGAACTTCCTTGAGCAAAGGAGAGTATACACATGTGCACACTGGAAGATGCCTAGGTGTGCTTGTGTAATAGCACTATTTTTTTTTTAACACCTGAAGATCATGTATCTACACTGGCTGGGCTCTCTCCTGGGCTGTCAGAGTAGACATCTACCTTTTGGAATGGGAGCTGAAAGCATGAGGGCCCGTCAAGCCCACCCCTCCTCCACCCCTCCCACCTCTCCTGCAGACCCATGGACTTGACGGTCAGTGAGGCAGGGTCAGCCTCAGGCTTGATGTCCATCACGCAGTCAAACACAGGAGTCTCGGGCACCGGATCCAGGTCCAGGAAGTCATCTTCGACTTTCTCCTCCATCCACTCTGAGTAGGTAAAGGAGGGCTGGCGGCTCACAGATTGGCGCCTGTCCTCTGGGGGCACCGGGGTGGGCGGCTCCGGGGGAGCCTTTAGGAGGTGCCACACCTGGTTGAGAATATAGGGTTTAATGGACCTAGAACCATGCCAGCTGTGGTGTCCTGGGGTGACCACAGGATTGGGCCCTCTGTCCCTCCATGTATCTAGACCAGCCATGCTCTCCTGGGAGCTGTCTATGAGGAACTCTGATCTCCTAGTTAGGAGTTTCCTCCATCTACTCTCCCTCCCTGTCCTCCAGGGTTCTGGGAGCCTCCCTGCCTCAACCCCTTTCCCCAGCCCAGATGGCTGCAAGCCAATTTCTAGGAAGAAGGCATCTCTTGCCCCAGGCCAGGCATCCTGGCCAAGGGAGACAGATACATGTCCTTGTCCTACCCAGCACCCAGGATGTCTAGTCTGTAGATCAGATGGGAGCTGGTGAGAAGCAGGACCTCAGGGCCAGAGGAGGAAAGCACTGAGGTTGGGGCAGGGGGCACCTTACCAGGGTGGTGACGAGGACCAGGCCCACGGACAGGGAGACCAGCAGCAGACTGGGGACTCCCGAGGTCCCTGCGCCCAGCCAGGCCTGGGGAACATTAAACAAACAGGTCAGGGTGGTGGTGGGGGCAGAGTCCTTGTCTATTCCAAAGGTGACAAAACTGAGGCTCTAAAAAGCATCTCTGGGATCTGAGGTGGGGAGCAGGCAGAACTTCAGGGGCTTGGAAATATCTCCTGAACTCAGAGAAGCCCCACTCAGGAGCTGGGGAGGGTGGACTGGAGGCCCCTAACACATCTCCCCACCCCAAGGTTCCCCAGAGCTTACTCACCGTGGGTCCCAGCTGTTTCAGGATTGTGAGCGAGGAGAGGATGAGATCTGTGGCATTCTGCAACCAGATGTGGCCATAGCCGCTGAACCAGAGCACCCCACAGGCAAGCTGGGGCAGTCGGGGGATCAGGCTGAGTTCAGAGCCCGGGCTCCTTGCCCCCACATTCTCAGCCTCACCCTCAATCTGGATCCCCAAGGAGGTTCCTGAACCTTTCAGGTCCAGATGTGGTAGCTGAGGGAAGGGCCCAAGTGCTGTGTACCCAGAGGAGAGATTTCAGGACTCTCCTTGGAGAAAAGCAGACTAAAAACAGTCAAAACAAAGGGAGACCCCACAGGTACATACATAAAAAGGGAAGCCTCCCAGAAAGGCCTCCACAGACAGGAAGGAAGTCCTCAGGATCAGGGGGTCAAGGGTCTGGGGGGCCCTGCAGTCCTGATCCTTGAGTGAGGTCAGACAGGTTGTGAGGGGCTTATCTCCTGAAGCTGCAGCAGAATTCCTGCCCTCCCCTCACATGATCTTCAGGACTTGAAGTTACCCAGGGCCCCTCTTCTTTGTCTCCCCAGGTAGCTATCTTGGGGAAGAAGTGGAAGACTGTCCCTCAACCCACCCGCTCTCCAGGTCCTCATGAGGCCTGTGACATCCTTACCAGGAACTGTGAGGCAGCGAACAGGCACAGGCTGCTCCTGACAGTGAGGGAGTGGCTCCCGGTGCCTTGAGGTGGTGGTTTCTGAGCTGGCTCTGAGGGTGGTGGGGGCGGTGGCATCTCTCTCTGCACACTGGGGAGCCCTTTGGCCTCGTCCAGCGCCTCCATCACTACCGGCTGGGGGAGACCTGTGCAAGGTGGGACACACAGGCCAATTACACCAGGCCCTGCCCGTGCACAGGGTTCTGCTGACCCACGGTGGACAGTTCCTTCTGGAGTTGCTGTGGCTTCCTCCCAATCCGGGATCAGTCAGCGTGGCTCCTCTTCCAGCAGTCACCCTCGATTAGCAAAGCAATATTCACCTACCTTCGTCAGAAAGAGCTAAGTGTGGGTGGACAAATTATTTCTCTTTTATTTCTCCAGTAACAGAGTTAAAATGGCAGGAGGTTTTTCAGAGTTAATATCGTTGTATTTACGCAGCTTCATTCTTTTCCATTTCTTAAGGAAACAAAAAACAACCACCTCAAACTCGATTAAAAAAGAAAGAAAGAAAGAAAAAAAAAGACACAGCATAACCAGGCCGTGACCCTGAACAACCCACCTACGCCTGCTCTCTGGAGTTTTGTTTTTCGTGGTCTGTGTCCTGACAGGGGCTGAAAGCTGGACTGTTAATATCACAGCCACGTGCCTCCCCTACCTTGGGACCCCCACACTGAGAGGGGGTGGGCAATCTGGGGGATGTAGAAGAAAATCTTGGTGTAGTAAGATCGATAGCACATGTTGGGGTTGAGCTCAGGGTCTGTCCGTGGTTGGTGTGGCCTCAGGAGAGTCACTTCCTTTTCGAATCTCAGTTTCCCCACCTGAAAAGTGGGGGATGGGCTCAACCCCTGTTTTTCTAATTGTGCTTTTCGGAGCTCCAGGGTTTCTTGGGTGCAGCAGGGGCTGTTACCAAGTGCCTGGAGTTCCTATGCCTGTGTCTCAGCATGGAAGCTATTCCTGTTCCCATTCCATATGCTGGGCTTCTGTTACGATGATTTCAACAGTTCTACCAACACATCCGACGACCACTGGCTACTCCAGTGCTATCCATCCTGGTGAGTCCACATGTTGGTCCCCACCCAAACTCATGTCTCAGTTTATCACCCAGAAGGGCAAGACCAACAAAACGGATGTGTACGGCTTGTTAGCTGGGATGGAGCTGCCCACACATCACTGTGCAGATGGGACAATGGACTTCTTTTCTGGTTGGGGTACAACAGAACCAGAGGAGACCAACACAGCTGTTTGTGCATATGCCTCCTCACTCATGCCACAAACACTTCCGGAGCCTCTTACAGCCCAGATCAACAGTGGAATACACAGCCCTGATCCTGGATACACCCGTGTGAACATAATAGGTTCCCCCTTTCCAGCTGGTTTCTCTTCTTTTTAAAAAGTTTGTTTTAACTAGTTATACATGACAGTCGAATGCACTTTGATACATCATATATAATGGAGTATAATATCTCATTCTTCTGGTTGTACATGATGTAGAATCACACTGGTCGTACAATTATGTATGTACATAGGGTAATAATGTCTGATTCATTCTACTATCCTTCCTACCCCATACCTCCTCCCGTCACTCCCCTCTACCTAATCTAAAGTAACTCTATTCTTCCCTAACCTTGCCCCCATTGTGAATTAGCATCCTTATATAAGAGAAAACATTCAGCTTTTGGTTTTTTGGGATTGGCTTACTTCACTTAGCATGATATTCTCCAACTTCATGCATTTACTGGCCAATGCCATAATTTCATTCTTCTTTAAGGCTGAGTAATAGTCTATCATTCATATATGTGTGTGTATATTATATATATTATATATGTAATATATATAATATATACTATATCTATATATCTATATAATTTTTTATCCATTCATCTGTTGAAGGGCACCTAGGTTGGTTCCATACTTTGGCTATTATGAATTGAGAGCTGCTATAAACATTGATGTGGCTACATCACTGTAGTATGCTGATTATAAGTCCTTTGGGTATAAACTGAGGAGTGAGATAGCTGGGTCAAACGGTGGTTCCATTCCAAGTTCTCTAAGGAATCTCCATACAAATTTTCATAATGATTGCTCCAATTTGCATTCCCACCAGCAAAGTATGAGTGTACCTTTTCCCCCACATCATCGCCAAAATTCATTGTTGTTTATATTCTTGATAATTGCCATTCTGATTGATTGTATTTCTTCTTCTGTGAAGTATCTGTTCAGTTCCTTAGCCTATTTATTGACTGGATTATTTATTGTTTTTGGTGTTAAGTTTTTTTGAATTCTTTATATATCCTGGAGATTAATGCTCTATCTGAGGTGTGTGTGGTAAAGATTTTCTCCTTTTCTTTATGCTCTCCCTTTCATATTATTGTTTCTTTTGTGGAGAAGTTTTTTAGTTTAAAATCTGTCCAATTTATTGATCCTTGATTTTACTTCTTGCACTTTAGGAATCTCATTAAGGAAGTCAGATTCTACACTCACATGGTGATGATCTGGGCCTACTTTTTCTTCTGTTAGGCCCAGGATCTCTGGTCTAGTGCCTAAGTCTTTGGTCCACTTTGAGTTGAGTTTCATGCAGGGTTAGGGGTTTAATTTCATTTTATTACATGTATTTCCAATTTTCCCAGTACCATTTATTAAATAGTCTATCTTTTTCTCCAGTGAATGTTTTTGGAATCTTTTTGTAGTATGAGATAACTGTATTTATGCAGGTTTGTCTCTGTGTCTTCTATTTTGTACCATTGGTCTATGTGTCTGTATTAGTGCCAATATCATGCTGATTTTGATACTATGGCTTTTTAGTACAGTTTAAGGTCTGGTATTGTGATACCTCCTTCTTTATTCTTATTGCTAAAGATTGCTTTGGCTATTCTGGGTTTTTAGTTTTTCCAAATGAATTTTATGATTGCTTTTTCTAGTTCTATGAAGAATGTTATTGGGATTTTAATTAGAATTTCATTAAATCTGTATAATGCTTTTGGTAGTATGGCCATTTTGACAATATTAATTCTGCCTATCCAGGAGCATGGGAGATCTTTCCATCTTCTAAGGTCTACTTCAATTTCTTTCTTTAGTGTTTTGTAATTTTCATTGTAGAGGTCTTTTATCTCTTTTGTTAGATTGAGTCCCAGGTATTTTATTTTTTGAAGCTATTGCAAATGGGGTAGTTTTTCTAATTTCTCTTTCAGTAGATTCATCACTGATGTATAGAAACACGTTTATGGGTGTTGATTTTATAACCTGCTTCTTTGCTGAACTCATTTAGGAGTTTTGAAAGTTTTCCTGGTGGAATATTTTGGCTCTTTGAAATATAGAATCATGTCATCAGAAAATAGTGATAGTTTAAGTTCTTCTTTTCCTATTTGTATCCCTTAAATTTCTTTCTCCTGTCTAATTCCCCTGGCTAGAGTTTCAAGGACAATGTTGAGTAGTAGCAGTAAAAGAGGGCATCCTTGTCTTGTTCCAGTTTTTAGAAAGAATTCTTTCAATTTTTCTCCTTTTAGAATGATGTTGGTCTTGGGTTTGGCATATATAGTTTTTATGAAGTTGAGGTATGTCCCTACTATCCCTAGTTTTTTCAGTGTTTTGTACATGAGGAGGTGCTATATTTTGTCAAATGTTTTTTTTTTTCTGAATCTACTGAGAAGATCATATATTCTTGTTTTTACGTCTATTGATGTGATTTATTAATTTATTGATTTCCATATGTTGAACCAACCTTTTATCCCTGGGATGAACCACACTTGATTGTGGTGCACTATCTTTTAAATATGGTTTTGTATGAAGTTTGCCAGAATTTTATAGAGAATTTTTGCATTTATGTTCATCAGGGATATTTTTCTTAAGTTTTCTTTCTTTGATGTGTCTTTGTCTGGTTTTGGTATCAGGGTGAGATTAGCCTCATAGAATGAGTTTGGAAGGACTCCCTCCTTTTCTATTTCATGGAATACTTTGAGGAGTATTGGTGTTAATCATTCTTTGAAGGTCTTATAGAACTTGGCTGATAATCCATCTGGTCCTGGGCTTTTCTTTATTGGTAGGCTTTTGATGGTGTTTTCTATTTCATTACTTGTAATTGATCTGTTTAAATCGTGTGTATCTTCCTGATTCAGTTTGGGTAGGTCATCTCTGAAATCTGTCGATGTCTTCAAGGTTTTCTATTTTATTGGAGTATAAATTTTCAAAATAGTTTCTAATTATCTTCTGTATTTCAGTCATGTCCATTGTGATATTTCCTTTTTCAACACATTTTTAAGTAATTTGAGTTTTCTCTCTTTTTCTCTTTGTTAGCATGGCTAGGGATTTATTTTTCCAAATAACCAATTTTGTATTATCAATTTTTTTTCAGTTGTTTCTTTTGTTTCAATTTCATTGATTTTAATTATTTCCTGTCTTCTACTGTTTTTTGGTGTTGATTTATATTTCTTTTTCTAGGGCTTTGAGTTGTAATGTTAGGTCATTTATTTGTTGACTTTTTATTCTTTTAATGAATGAGCTCAATGCAATGAACTTTCCTCTTAGCCCTGCCTTCAAGGTGTCCCAAAGATTTTGATATGTTGTACACTATTCTCATTTACCTCTAAGTATTTTTAAATTTCATCTCTGATTTCTTCATTTTCCATTCATCATTCAATAGTGTATTATTTAGTCTCCAGGTGTTAGAGAGTAGCTTTTATTTTTTATTCTATCATTGATTTCTAATTTTATTTCATTATGATCTGATAGGATGCAGTGTATTATCTCTATTTTTTTTTTGTATTTGCAAAGAGTTGCTTTAGGACATAAGATATGGTCTATTTTAGAGAAGGATCCATGTGCTGCTGAGAACAAAATATATTTGCTCATTGATGGATGAAATATTCTATATATGTTAAGTATAAATTATTGATTATATTATTTAGATCTAGAGTTTCTTTGTTTAGCTTTTGTTTGGAAGATCTATCCAGTGAAAGAGGTGTGTTAAAGTCACCCAGTATTATTGTGCTGTGATCTATTTAATTCTTGAAGTTGGGAAGGGTTTGTTTGATGTACGTAGATGCTTCATTGTTTGGGGCATAAATATTTATGATTGTTATGTCTTATTGATGTATAATTCCCTAAAGAAGTATGAAATGTCCTTCTTTGTCCCTTCTGATTAACTTGGGCTTGAAGTCTACTTTATCTGATATGAGGATAGAAACCCCTGCTTGTTTACATGATCCACACAATCTATATGTTTTTTCCCATTCTTTCACCCTCAGTCTATGGATGTCTTTGTTTATGAGGTGAGTCTCTTGGAGACAGCATATTGTTGGGTCTTATTTTTTGATCAAACTTGCCAATCTGTGTCTTTTGATTGATCAGTTTACGCCATTAATATTCAAGGTTATTATTGAGATATTATTTGTGCCCCAGTTGTTTTATTTTTGTTTTTTTAATTTGACTTAATTTATCCTTTGATTTGACTATTTTGACTATTCCTTTGGCATTGTTCCTCTCTTCGTTGGTTTTCACTTTTTTTTCCCTCACTTCTTCCTCATGCTTTCTGGTTGTGAGTTCTTTTAACTTCTGTTTATCATGGAAGGCTTTTATTTCATCTTCAAATCCGAAACAATTTTGCTGGACATAAAATTCTTGGTTGGCATCCGTTTTCTTTCAGAGCTTGAAATATATTATTCCAGGACCTTCTAGCTTTGAGGTTCTAGGTTGAGAAATCAGTTGAGATCCGAATTGGTTTCCCTCTATATGTAATTCATTTTTTTTCTTATGGCCTTTAAGATTTTATCTTTATTCTCTGTTAGTCATTCTCATTATAATGTGTCTTGGTGTGGGTCTGCTGCAATTTTGTACATTTGGGGTTCTACAGGCCTCTTGTATTTGATTTCCCATTTTATTCTTTAGATTTGGGAAATTTTCTGATATTACCATTAAAGATATCATGCATTTATTTGTTTTTTATCTCTGCTCCTTCATCACCTCGATAACTCTTAAAATTTGGTCTTTTCATGTTATCCCATAATTCTTGAATGTTCTGTTCATGTTTTTTTACCATCTTCTCTGCATGGTCAACTCTGTTTTCAAGATTATATATTTTTTCTTCATTGCCTGAAGTTCTGTCTTCCAAGTGGTCTAGTCTGTTGGTAATGCTTTCTATTGAATTTATAATTTGGTTTATTGATTCCTTCATTTCAAGGATTTCTGCTTGTTTTTTTTTTGTCACAATCTTTAACTCTTTATTGAACTGATCTTTCACTTCCTGGGTTTTTTCTTTGATTTCACTCCTTATATTATCCTTTACTTTGCAGATTAGTTTAACCATGTACATTCTAAACTCCTTCTCTGACATTTCTTCTACTGTGTTGTCAGTGGATTCTGTCTTTGGAGCATCTTGGTTTGTTTGGGGCACTTTATTCCCCTGTTTTTTTTTTCTTCATTTTATTCATGTGTTTTCCCATCTAGCAGTATGGATCTAAGGCAGCACAAATTCTACCCTGAAGACCTATAGTGTCCCTGAAGTTTCTAGCACCTTGCCTTCAAGGGGGGAGACCAACATTAATAGCATCCAATGTAAACCACACACAGCCCCAAACCCACGAGATCCTATCAAGACTTCCACAGTTTTCTCTCAACAAACAGAAATGACAAGTTCAATTACTGTGCACACTATATACAGCAAATTTGCTAAAAGGTTTCACAATCCCAAATGTTGGAGAAAGAGAGAACAGAAGTGGTGCAGGGCTTGATGTTCACGAGGAAGGAGGACAGAAGCCAGAAGCAAAAACTTATAGTAAGAGTGGAAGAGGAATTGACAGAGATTGACTGTTATTGAAGAAAAGATAGAGAATCCTTGAAAGCAGACAAGTGAGAGGAAAAATATATACAATAAAAAATTAAAAATATAAGCCTACACAACAAAACTGCAAAATACCATCCATACACCAGTCAACAAAATCATGCATGAAAACTACCTGGTCCCCAAAATAGTAGAAATGCTAGAGAAGAGATTTAAAAAATATTTAAAAACAAAACAAGCCAAAACAACAACAACAACAACAACAACCATCACCAAACCCTAAAACCAAAACCAAAAACCTCAATGGAAAACTGAACAATTGTTTGCTTCAGAGTTCAAAGTTCTCTCAGTCCTGACTGATTCTTCATGGGATCACCAGGCCCAGATGAGCCCATACAGACTCTGTCGCTATCCCACAGATCTGGATTTCAGATGTTCCAGTCTTGGCTACATTGCATTCCCAAAATCTCAATGCTGTTCCAATTTGCAGAGAGATCACCAAGGGATGTGCTCACATAGAAGAGCCACCCTGAAAAGAAGCTGCAAGATGGCAGTCACCAGCACTCCCAACAGGAAGACTCTAGGTGCAGCCAACCCTGCAGGCACTCTGACCCAGGACCTCCAGGTCCCAAAACTATGTCCCCAAACAGAGGCGGCTGTTCCCCAGATGGCAGTGGTGGCAAAGCGGCTGGCACTCTGACCCCCTGACCTCCAGGCGCTGGCTGGAGTCCCAAGATGGAGGTGGCCGCGTGAAACCAAACCTGCGGGAATACGGCTGTGGACCTCTGGGCAGCGGAGCGGGTCAGTGGCGGCGATCTTCGGCAGCAGCACTGGTTGGTGGTAATGGCGCCCGGAACAAAGACCTCCCTGTGACAGTAGGAGAGGTGTAGGAAGCAGTGTAGGCAGAGAGAAGACCTCTGGGCTATGATGGTGACCTCACAGAGAAAAGACCAAGTCTGGGACAGCAGTGTGGGGAGCAGAGGCGTTGGGGTGGCGATGTAGGCTGCAGCTGCGTGCCGTGCTGGGAGAAAAGACCTTCCTGCCATGGCGGCAGAGACAGTACGTCCTCGAGTGCGGCAGCGGTCTGTTGGCAGCGCTCCTGCCTGGTTCCTCTTCTGCTGTGCATCAGCTGTGGCCTTGTAGTTCCTCAGGTGAGTCTGTCCCTAGTGCTTTGTACATGCTATTCCTTTACCTGGAATATCCCTCCAACACTCTGCTTCCCTCCCTTGCCTACCCTACACCAAGGTAACTCCTATTCATCTGATGGATCTCAATCAAATGCCACCTGGAGTAGGTCCTGCCCTATCATGTACTAGCACCCCATGCCACTCCTTCAGAAGCACAATAGCCCTGAAGGTGTGGAGCTCTGTTCTGAGTGCTTTACATGCATTGAGGTATTTACTCTATGAGGCAGGCAGTGCCATCACCCCCATTCTACTGGACAGGAAGAGGAGGGGGAAACAGCAGCTAAGAAGTTCCATGCTTCTTAGATTGGGATGCATGTACCCCTGAGGGCAAAGCCACAGGATAAATGTCACTCATCTTCCTGAAGCATAAATTTGATTTGAAGCTTTGGGTGAGGGGAAAATACATTTTAATATCAAAACAAGTGCAGATACACCATAGTATAGGATATAGAATACCCAAGGTCACCTAGGTGGTAAGTAGCAGAGGTGGATTCAGTTTGAGGCAGTCAGATGGGCTCTGGGGTACATTATACTTGCCATGGTTTGTAAAATGATTTGTGGAATATCATATCCTCTACTTTCCTGGAAGTCCTGTGAGGGCGGGGGTGGTATTGGTTTTGCTCATCATGATTATCTACGGCATCTAGCACAAATCTTGGCATGAAAGTCTCCAGTAAATATTTATTAAACAAGGGTATGGTGATGGACAAGTGAGATCCTTAAAAAAAAAAAGTATGTTTTTAGTTGTAGGGGAATAGAATACCTTTTTTAAAAAATTTTTTAATATTTATTTTTCAGTTTTTGGTGGTCACCACATCTTTATTTTATTTTATGTGATGCCGAGGATCAAACCCAGCGCCCCGCACATGCCAGGTGAGCGCGTTACCGCTTGAGCCACATCCCCAGCCCAATACCTTTATTTTATTTATTTCTATATGGTGCTGAGGATCGAACCCAGGGTCCCATACATACTAGGCAAGCTCTCTACTTCTGAGCCATGATCCTAGCCACAGAGTGATATTCTTTTACTCAGTTTTCTTACCCTATAAAGGGGGATAATAATACATATTTTGAAAAGCTGTTACGAAGAGTTTAGAGACACAGATAAAACACCCACCATGGTTCCTGACATTTATGGTTTGCAGGTACCCAATCAATGGCAGATGATTAAAAATAACACAGAATGTTTGCCTTCAAAAGACTCCTAGTCTACTGGGTTAAACAAACCAGTAAATACATGTTTACCATACAATGCATTAAGTGATACATCTTAAGGGCTGGAGTCTAAGAGATGGGGCGGGCATCTACCCATGGAGGCTATACGGTTACTGACAACCTGTGCAGTCAGCTCACAGCAAGATGAGAGGGGGAAAAGCTGCTGCTAGAAGACAGATCATGTGGGAAGCCAAAAGTTTCCACCACTGATGATCAGGGGGTGGATTTCTCAAGGGCAAGGTCCTCACCCACACATTTGTCAGGGTCTTGGCCCCAGGTCACCTGGCTTCTATGCTGCAGCTCTGCAATGCACATGCTGTGGACCCTGGGCAATCCCTTCTTTTCCCTGGGTCTCAGTTTCCTTATCTGTAAAGAGAGGGGTGTGAAGTACAATGTGGTTCTTCTTATATGTTTCTACCATCTCAGAGGAGAGGAAATGTGGGCCTTTGAGGAATAACAACAAGCACACAGAATTTTTGACTTTGCTGCTTTGTTTTAAAATCCACGGGTGCTTTATATCCTATTCTATGGTGTATCTGCACTCATTTTGATATTAAAATTTTTTCCCCTTACCCAAATCTTCAGATCAAATTTATGCTTCAGGAAGATGAGTGACATTTACCTTGTGGCTTTGCCCTCAGGGGTACATGCACCCCAGTCTGAGAAGCATGGAACTTGCCTGAAATAAAATATCATGCAGCCATTATAAATGACTGTGTTGATGAATATTTAATAACACAGAAATTTTGAAAGTATGAAGTTAGAAAGGCAAGGTTATAAAACCGTATGACCTCACTGGATTTGAAAATTAAGAAAGTATAAATGTGTCTATTCAAAAATGGAGGATACCTGATGTAAGATGAGAGATCTGGGGCTAGGGATGTGGCTCAATGATGGAGTGTTTGCCTAGCATTCTCAAAGTCCTAGGTTCAATTCCCAGGACTGGGGAAAAGGGGGAAAAAAAGGGAGCTCAAGTCTGTAGAGCATGGAGAACAGTGAACAGTGAATGCATGCACATAGTAAGTGCTTAATAAATGTTGCTCAAGGTAAACTGGAAGAATATAAGGCAGGTGTTAACAGTATTTTTGTGGGGGAGATGAGATTAGAGGTGATTTAATTTGTATATTCTAATTTCCTCCAATAAATATATATAAACACACACATACTTGTAGTGAGAGAAAATATTTTTTAAAAAGAGATGAAAGTTCCTAGTTTAGGTATCACGACATCTAGTTAGAATTTCCCAGGTTTCAGGTCCTGACTCCCATATGTCATATCTAAATGCATGCAATGGGACATTAGAGATCGATAGAGTGTGCACAGCTGTGTGACCCACCCAGCAGAGCAGTCACTCAGAAAGCAAGCCCCTCTGAGAATGTGATTGTCACTTTTGCATATAAAAGATGGCAGGTTAACTGCCTTGCACATATGGGGGTGTGAGAGAAAATGTAGGCTGATGGGGCCCTGTATGCAGATCTGAGATAAGGGGAGGCTTTTTAATTCTTGTTTTTAAATCACTGGGTACCAGGCAGTCCTGAGGGCCTGATAAATCTAAGTGATGAGTATTGACTGGGTACCTGATAGAGGCACATTTTTCAGAGCAGTTTATTTAAAAGTATACAGGAAGATACATTTTCAAACCCATACTATATTCTGCATGTAATCTGGGGGATCCACAGACCTCAGGTTAAGATTCACTGATCTCAGGAATAGGCAGTGGGGGGTCTGTTATGGAAAGTGATGGCAGATTTAGGGGTAGAGAACTGAACGAGGAACATGTCTCTTTGATTTTAGTCTCTGCTTCTTTGTGCAGGAGTCCAACACACATTTATTGAACATCAACTATATGCCAAGCACCGGGAAAACAAAGATTCACTTTTACTCTATTTAGGAAGTATTTGCTGTATACCTACTTTGCCAAGCCCTGGTCTAGGTTCTGGGAGTTCAGCAGTGAACAAAGTGGTCCTGACTGCATGGACCACTGTCCTGCTCCTAGCGATGATGTCAGCTCTTCTCCTTGCCCTGCCCTCCCTTCCACTCACTATCTTATTCGGGGGGATGATAACGCCATCTCATCTCACTGTGCTGTTCCCAAAGCACTTCCGTGCACACAGTTGCATTTGCTTTCCTCAGCAGCCCTATGAGGTAGACATTATCATCATCAGCCCGTTTTGTCAGTGAGAGGCGGCTGCTTGTGTCAAGGGCTGGCTTTTCAATAGTTCACAGCGAGGTAGCTGCTTTGCCACGCATGAAACTCTGACTCAGAGGCAGCTTGCTGACAAGCGATTTAATATCAGGCTTGCCTCTTGCACAGGGTGAAGGGGATTTTCCAGGCAAGGAAATCGAGGCTTAGAGAAGTCAAATGCCTTGGTCCAAGTGAGTGCAGACCCTGAGATTCCAGACCAAGTGATGGTTCCATTTTGCCATACCCCTTCTCAGGAAGGGGTCACTGCAACAATGGCAGGGAGGATGGGGAGAGTCTGAGAGGGAGGGAAGGAGGCCATTTCTGTGGAAACCTTGAACCCTAACCAGCTGCCTGGGGCTGCTGTGCAGTTTTTGTGTTTGATATCTGGCTAACAGGTCCTCTGAGGCCAAATGGTATGGAGTACTGGAAAGAAGCTCAGCACCCCAGCTCAAAGCTCCAGGGATCCTGGGTAGGGCATTCAGGCAAATGGCCTTCAGATGTCACCTGAGGCACAGAGGAACACTATGATCCCTCTCTTGTCACCCAGCTCCCAAATCCACCTGCTACTCTGCAGCTACTCTGCCACAGGGCTGTTGCCACTTGAGCTGGAGAACTGTACTGTGGCTGTTCTGTCATGACTCATTCTTCAAGCTCTGGGCAGCCAGCCTACCGGAACTAGAGTGGAAGGCTGGCTCAGCCTGTTCCTGTTTACATGAGAAGGGAGTTTCTGTCCCATTCAGCTTTTCTTCCTTCCCAGTGTGGCCGAGAGTGACCTACCAGCTAAGCCCACACAGTCACAGGGGACCCTGCCCGAAAGAACATCTCACTCAGTCCTGCCAGAGCTCTCAGAATTGCTGTCAGAGCTTGACTCGCCCTGAGGGTTTTCTTGTCCAGTCTGCCAATTTCTCAAGTGGCGAAATTGAGGCCCAGAGAGGGGAAGTGGCTTGCCCAAGGTCAATGGCTGGAGAATGTAAGAGCCTGGACATTGGCTGCTACCACAACCACCACGGCTAACAGTTTCGAATACTTGCCACCTGCTGGTGCAGCTCCCAGCGTTTTACACGTATTAACACTTCCAATCCTCAAAATAACCCAAGAAACACTGATGTACTTATTCTTAGTTTTAGAGATGAAGAAACTGAGGCCTAGGGGAGTTAAGTCCCCTGGCCAAGGTCTGCTAATCAATGGGTATAAACGGAGACTAGAACCCAGGCAGTCTGCCTCCAGAGCCCACCCTTTCAGCCAACACACTAGATGTGACTCCTCTTTGAGGCTAGGAACAGGCCCTCTGCTTTCCATACCATCTTCAAGAACTCTTCAACATCCGGCATGGATTTATTTCAGATGTCATGGTGTTCAAAATACCTTCATTAGACATTGTCTCCTCTTGATTACAAGATGACTGCTCCTACTTCTTGTGGGGATAAAGGGGAGTGGGGAAGAGGTGAGGTAACCTTGGCCAATTTCTAACAGCTTCCACCTGTGGAGGATTAACTGGAGGGGTGGCTCTGTTAGGTTCTCACTCTGCCTACTCTGAGCCAGGTGCCCTGTGAGTCTTGTGCCATTCAATGCTATTCACAGCGAGGATATGGGTTGACATTATTGTCCACAGCTTACATGTGGAGTCACAGAGGCATAGAGAGCTTAAGTGATTTCCAGGGCCAGAGAGCCAGGAAGTGACAGAATTGGGATTTAAATTCAGGTCATTGGGCCTTCATATTTAATGATTTTTCTCTTATTCCAAGAAAGGTCTGGAAACTCATACAAGGGATGAGTTGGGACAGGTATGCCTACCTTGTTTTGAGTTTTGCCCTGAATGCAGAATCAAGCCAGGTGCTTTGGGAGGTGCTGAGAAAGGCCACTGGGTAGAAGGGTCTAGAAGGAATAGGTCCAATCAGCTATTTCTGCCATCATAATATCACACTGTCAGCAGTGCCTTGAGCTCTGAGAGGGAGAGCCTGGCCTTGTTGGGCATGGCTGTGGTCTCTGTCCTCACTGGGAGTCTGGAGTGGAGATGCCCCATTTTCTGCTGGCTTTTGAGGTGTATAGCAGGCATACTAGGGGGCAGAGGTTAGGTGGAAGTGAGAGGGTAGAGTTGCCCAAGCATGCCTTTATTATTCGTAGACATGTCTGGTGTCTAACTGGCATGACTCCTAGAAGGCACAACAGCCCTGGCAAAGAAAATTTCTAGCTGCTCCCAGCAAAGGTAAACAAATGATGGATTTGGGGTTCTGGGAGTTCATATGGGCTCCCCACAACTCCTCCACCCATCAGTCCTGCTAACCAGTGAGTAGTAAGACCAAGAGATCCACAGAAGGGGTAGAAAGATGACAAGGGTCTGGGCTGGCAGTGAGACTGTCTTGGCTGGAAAGCTGGCTGGGGTGGGGTGGGAAACAGAGGCATTTAGAGGATTCTGAACTATTATGTGGGTGCTCACCATTTATCAGCTACCTGACTTGGGAGGTTTTTTAATTCCTGTGATGGTCTCCCAATGTGTCAAATCTTCAATATTACTTCCATCAATAGGTACAGTCGTGTTCTCCACCCTGGCTGATCTCTCTGAAGAAGGGAATGTGGAAGATGTGGTATCACAGGACTGTGAGGACAGGTTAGAAAAGCCCATGTGGCCTTTTCTGGGTACCCTGGGGCTGCCTGGTGGAGAGGGGGTTTTTCATAGACTGATGTAAGTATTGACTCATTTAACCCTTACAACAATGGTTTGATATAAAAAACAGAACTGTCTTTTAAAGATAGGAAAAGAGAAGTGTGAGAGTACGTGACTTTCCCAAGGCCATCACAACTTATGGAAGATCCAAGACTTGGAGCGAGGCCATCTGGCTCCAGCACCTTTCCTCTTACTAGACTCTGGGCTGCCTGCCCTGCACTGGGCCTCCACTACTGCTTCCTCCTCCCTGCTGGGGGAAGTCTGCCTGAGAAGGAGCTTCAACCCTTTCCAGGACAGAGAGGGCAGGAGCCATCCCAGAATGTGTGTTGGGGGGCACAGGGACAGGCCTTTTCCCTTGGCATAGTCCATCACAACCTGGATGGGGGGCTTTTTTGGAGAGAGAAGCATAGAAAGGTAGGACTGGGATCAAGACCATGGGAGGAGAGGTCTGGGAACAAAGGGCATGCACCCACTGCTTGGTCTGATTGGGAGCAGGGACAGACCACCATTTGCAGACATCAGAGAAGCTATGTGAGGGAAGGCGGCACATTGTGGGCAAGAATGGCACCTGTGCCTGGAAGCTCAAGGCAGGCAGATTTCTGGCAACTTGAACTAGCTCTGGCCAAGAGTACCTATTGACCCTACAAGTTCCACTGCAGCTCTTCCTGCCCCCACCCCCAGTGGCCTTTTTTCCAGGCAGGTAGCTTCCTGTAGTGGCTTGCAGTCAAGTCCTACATTCTGTCTGAGTCCCAACTTTGCTCTCTTACTACATATATGACCTTGGGTAAGTGGCAACCTCTCCGAACCTCAGTCTTGCCTCTGGAGAAAGAGATGTGCTAAAACTTCTCTCATAGGAATTTCAAGATACCATGAGGTGAACTATACAGAATGCTTATTAGCCTGGTGCCTGGCATATGGTGAATGTTCAATAAATGGCAGCCAGAGATGAGAGGGGAAGGGGAGAGAGGGAGAGGCCATAGTGAGGATTTCCCTTTCATATGCCAGGTGAGCTCCCAGGAAGACAACGGGTGCCGCACCTGGATGTGGGCAGAGGCTTTGAGGCTGCTGGCTGGGACTGGGGTCTGAGGAGGAAGTGGGCATGAACTAGGGGTGGGGGAGGCAGGGCAGCTTTGTCTCTGTCAGTTAATTAAATCCGGAATGCTAACAAGCTTTCAAAACAAAATGCGACTCAAGTACTCTTTGCATGGGATATAAAAAACAAAACAAAACAAAACAAAACAAAAAAACGGTTCTATGAAATTGCAAACAGCTTTGTTGCTGCAAACAAAGGCCCAGTTCTTTGTACCTTTCTGGCGTGGAGGCCCAAAAAGTACAAGGGTGAAAAGGGTCAATGAAACTCGGAGGGTGCACCCCTGCCACAGCTGCCCACGCAAAGAACTGAAAGAACCCACAGGTCCTGGGGCAATCGAGTACCAGAGGCCCCCAGTGCCTGAGACTTAAGCACAATTGTATGGAAAGGACAGGAAGACTTTAGACAGCATCTTGTTTTACCCTCCCATTTCACAGATGAGGAAACTTAGGTCTAGAGAGTAAGAGGCAGAATCAGGATTGGTAAGTCTTTAACCATCTTGTTCAACCTTTTCAATATGAAGCTAGCATAGGGTGTTTTAACAGGGGCTGTCTGTGGGTGTCTAGAAGATCTGAGGCCTGAGGCCCTGTGGCAGTGGGAGCTGGCTCCTACCTTGGGGTTCTTTGGTGGGTCCTATTAAATGCTGTCAGAATTATAGGAAAGTACAGGTGATAGCAGTAGAACAAAAGCAGCCCAAGATGTCCCCCTGACAGTAGTACCAACAAATTCCATGTCACCTGGAGTCATCATATATGGCTCTTGGTAACCCAAAGACTCACAATGCACTTGCAAGGTAGCAAGAGGCCTGAGGGCTCTTTGATCAAGCTGCATGTTCCCCGGCATCTTACTGCCTGTAGGCCTTCCAGGCCTTCTTTAAAGTCAAAGAGTTGGTCTTTAGGAGACTTTCCAGCTCTAAAAACCAACTTCTGGGGGCTGGGGTTGTGGCTCAAAGGAAAAGTGCTTGCCTAGCATGCGCAAGGCACTGAGTTCGATCTTCAGTACCACATAAAAATTAAATAAAGGTATTATGTCCACCTACAATTAAAGAATAAATGTTTAAAAAAAAATAAAAAACAACTGCTGTTTTAAAAAAATCTGCCTCCCTTGATTTAGTTTAATTTAATGGCTTCCCTTTGATCTTAGGATAAAGACCAAAATCTTGTCATAGCCAAAAAGAAGGGACTAGCATCCTCTGGCATGCTAGTCCCATTTGTCTCCCCAGACTCCTCCATGACACCTTCCTCCTGGTTGTCTCTGCTCTAGCTTCTTCCAGATCCTCTGCTGGAACTAGTTTGAAACTAGTAGTTCTACCCCAGAGTATAAACATCGAAGAAATTTTCATATGGTGCCTAAATGAGTATGCAAATCAACGTTTCCTGCAGTGGAGGCATCTGCAAGCCCATTGCTCTGGTAAGCGAGGTGTTCAGGGACATACTGTGGAGCACTTGCAGCCCTTAGGAGCAAAGGATCAAAGTTCTATGGAAGGAGCTTAGGAGCACTCAGTACTGAGTGACAGCAATGAGATTTCATACCATGCACATGATTTTCAATTTGCAATGGAGTTATGATGGGCCCACAAAATCCACTGTAAGTTGAAAACATGGAAAGTAGAAATGGATTTAATGAATCTATTCTACTAAACATCAAGCCTGGCAACACTGCAGACTCTCAGTTGTTTACTCTTGTGATCTTGAGGCTGACTGGGAGCTGTGGCTTGTTGCTGCCACCCAGCATTGCATTATAATGAATATCACACTGTGTATTGCTAGCACAGGTCAAGATCAAAATTCAAAATGTGAAGTTTGGTTTCTACTGAGTGCATATTTCTTCTGCATCATCTCAGGTCAAAAAAACTGTAAGTTCCATGACTGTAAGTCAGGGACCCTGTATTCAATACACACACTTAAAAATATAAGACAAAAACCATTGCCACCCATCCTGTAAGAGCACAGAGAAACAAAAATGCACATTCAACACGTGAAGTATGCAGAGAAGGGCATAGCAGTGGCAGATAAACAGGATAAATAAGGGAGGGAAACCCAAGCGGTGAACCACTGAAGATGCACAGAGTACCACACACAAGACTTGGGCCAACAATGCTCAGAAAGCTCTCAATAAACCCCTCCCCCTCCCCAAGGAAACCCGAAACAAAGCCAGTGAGTTGGAAGTTGGGCCAATGTCCAAAGGGAAAGAAAGAACAGAAGCTGAAGGCCTTTCATCCTGTCTGAACCAGGAACTGGGAGAGCTGGAGAGAGGCCCGGGCTGCTTGGGAATCAACACTCCCAGAAGGGGAAACCTTCATGGATTTAGCTGCAGCACAGCTGACTGTCAAGAAGCCCCTGAATCTCCTCTTCCCTGAGCTGGTTCACCTACATACCATCTGAGTCATTTTGTGGATCTCTAAAGGGAGAGGGAATTCCCTGCCTTGATGGCTGACCCCACAGATGCCCCCATAGGATTCCCAGCACCTATTAAGATCCCTGGGTTGGGTTAGTTCCAGGTTTTGGGGCTGCCAACAGAGCAACCCAACCCAAAGGGAGATGACTTACCCCAGAGGGAACCTTCCCTACAAACTACCACTTTGGCTTAGCTTTAGTAATTTTAATTAGTATTCTGGAGTGACCAATTTTTTTTTTTTAATTTTAAATGATTTTAGAAAATGGTATTTTATTTTTGTATTTTTCTCTTTGTGGTTGACTTTCCAACTATAGACTATTATGTATGTAGGCATATCCTAAGAATATGTCTCTTTAGGGGTTCAACTTTTAAGCAATATGTAGACAGTCTCCAATGATCCCTACCTTCTGGTATTCACAACCTTCTGCAACCTCTCCAACATGGTACCAGAGCACACAACAGAAATGAAGAAATACCACTTCTAATGTTAGGGTAGAAGAGACAGTGACTTCTATCTTAGAGTCTCCCATGCTCTCTTGAATCTCTCACTCTTGAGATTCAAGAACAGCTGCCTTCTTGGGTGGTCATTCAAGTAGCTTATGGAGGGGACTGTCTGGACAGGAACTTAAGACCTCTGGCCAATTGGCTACAAGGAACTGAAGCATCCTAACAGCTCGTGAATGAGGTAGGAAGAGGATGTTCACTCCCAGACAAGTTTTGGGATTACTAGAGCAATCGTCCATTACCTGAGATGTTTGGAGAGACTCAGCCAGAATCACATGGCTAAGCCCTTCCTGGATTCCTGATTTAGGAACTGTGTGAGATAGTAAATATCATTTTAAGCTGCAAAGTTTTGGGGTAATTTGCCTTGTGGCAAAATATAACTAATGCAAAAACAGCGTTATGCCTTTCTTTGGCTAATGTGAATTTTCCTTACAGGCTGGACTCCTATTGGAGAGAAGCAGGCCTAAGAGGCTGAGTGTGACCATGGTTGGTCTTGCTGCTGGATGCCAGGATCAACAGGGTGGGCTCCTCGGATTGGCAGAGGGTGGCACTGGGCTGGGTAGGGGACAAAAGCACAATTCTAAATGGTCTTGTCTGTGGTGGAGAAATGGTCTATCTTAAGCTAGGTGATGTTCAACAGGGATGTGGGCAAAAAGATCATCTTTTTAAAGGTCTAACACAGTTAGTCACAGCCCACGTGGGGCTGACAGAAGTTTAGAGATCTATAGTGGTTTGTGCAAGATTCCAAGCTCAAAAAGCACAGAACCTAAATTCATTCACAGCCAGGCCTTCTAAATCCAACAATTAGAAACCATAAAAAATGACATGTGAAAAGACTTCATGGTTTACAAACCCCCATTCACATGCATCATCTCATTGAACTCTCAAACGGCCACGAAAAGACGGCTTTTCCCATTTCTCCACAAAGATGTCTGTTGGGAAGGCTGGAGAAGTATAGAGTACAGGGCTTGCCCAAACCCATCTATGAGACATGATGCCTAGGCCTGGGCCCTTGGAGCCTGATGCCCAATACCAGGGCAGGCCCACCAGGACGATGGCTCCTGTCCTGGCCTCACACTTTGAAGGGCCCTGCTTCAATCCTCCACCAGGCATCCTCCACACAGGTGAGGAGTCCACGGAGCCAGGAGGACGTTTCCCCTTTTATTTATTTCCCCTCAAATTCCCTGCCCACACTTCCTAAACCTGATTCCAGGGACTGAGGCCCCTTTTTTTCCGATGTCTTTGTGAGGGTCCTCCATGCTGCTGTGTGCATCCCCAGGTTGCTAAGGTGACTGCTTGCAGGAGGTGTGTTTGGAGCTCAGTTGTGCGAGTCAGGGTTCCTAACCACATAATGCAAATGAGGTGATTAACCAGCCCTTAAGCTTTTTGGGGGAAGGAGGTGGGGGGACCCTGGATTGAACCCAGGGTCACTTTACCACTGAACTACATCCCCAGTCCTATTTATTTATTTAATTTTGAGACAAGGTCTAAGTGGCTTAGGACCTTACCAAGTTGCTGGCCTTGAACCTGCAATCCTCCTGCCTCAGCCTCCTGAGCCGCTGGATTATATGTGTGTACCTATACCTAGTCCAGTGTTTTTTAGCAAGTTTCTAAAGACATGATCCTGGACCTACCCATCCTCTCAGCCACTTCTTTCAGAAAGCCTTCCTTGGCTCACTAAGCTAGGTCTGCATTACTACTGCAGCCTTCCAAGACATCTTGTATTCTTTGAGAGCTTGTGGGGAACATACCTGCTTGCTTCCCTGTATCACCAGTGCCTGGCAAGCACTGGGCCTGGAGTGGATGGCTAATAAATTTGAGTTCATAAAAGGGTCTCAGGCTGCCTTTTCATTTGCCCTTATTGGTTTCTGGTGCAAAACCTCATCAGTGGCAAGGCGGAATGGCTGAGAAAGCTATGACCTTGTCCTTTCTGCTGTTCAAAGGGACTCACGGTGGGATCAGAAGAGCAAAGCTGTCCTCCTCCAGGTCTCCATTTACTTCATAAAGTGGCATCCGGGATGGGGTGGAGGCCTCTTACTGAGATCAAGACCTCATCCCTGCACTCAAGGAGAGTCCTCTAAATATTCATAATGATACAGACTGAGAACTGTGCTGGGCTGGTCTGTAGTCAGCCTTCAAGACACCATGATTTAAGGTGGAGAGTGGAGCCTAGAGTCATTAGCCCAAGAGATCAGCTGTTCCTACTAAAAGGGCAATGCCCTACTCAGGTCTTCAGCATATACTCAAAACCTGGCATAAACCCAACTGATTGTGATTCACTTAAATCTCAGGACATAACTCCAGCCAGCTTCTAGCTGTAAAGGGCCCTGGGAGTACCTTGCTCTTAAGAGCAGTGTTGTCTTTAGACTTGAACCCTGAACTCCCTTTTCTCTGGCCATGCCACTCCCTACAGTGAGAAGTTCACAGGCTCAGGAGATGTGCTCACCTGGAGTCTATGACCACCTAGTGTTCATACCCTCATTCTAGGCTGTACTACTAGAATTCCAGAGTTCCCTGATCAGATGACCCTTTGCTTGCAGGGGTCTTTCCCTCATAACATCTTTCTGAGGGGAGACATTGACTTGTGCTTCAGTATTTTTAGATTTGATGGGTGGCTATTGGGGGGGTTGTGGGCCATGCCTGAACCCATAAACGGATATACCCACATGCATGCAAGGACGCCTTTGCCTTTGCCGTGCAGGATTGAGCACCACTAGGAGCCTTGTTATTTATCTGGCCCTAGTCCCTGCAAATGGCAGGAGCCAGCCTGTCCTGAGTCTGCCCGCTGAAGGCACTGAAAGCAAGACTTGATAAGGTTCTCCATTCCATGTCCTGGCCATGGCTGGCACCTACTATTGTCTACCTCCTTCTCCTCCCTTGGATCCCCAAGGAAGCTGATGGGTCCCAAGCTAGGTGAGGAGCAGAGGCCCCTGCATCAGCGGTGTTGCTTGCTTTCTTGTGAATGTGAACACCTACACACAGAAGAGGGGGAGTGTGAGTGTGAATGTACCCAAGTGTTTGGGTGACTGTGAGCAAGGAAAGTGAGCAAGTGAGGGAGAGTGAAAGAGAAGAAAAGGAAGGTGAGCATGTGAAGAGTGTGTATGTGAGGGAGAAGAGAAGTGTATGTGTGTGCAGGTGTATGAGGCATGGAAGGCAACCCAGTTCACACCAAGTGCCTGCAACAGTACCTGGGAAACGTGTATGACTGAGGGTCTGGGAAAAGACAGAGAATGCAAAGCAGAGGAGGGTGCCTTCGGATCTTCATGCATGTGAGGGAGACGGGGTGCGGGGTCAGTCATGGGGGGTGAGAGAGAGATTCAAATTGGAATGAGAGCTAGCACAGCTGTCCATCACAGGAAGCCTGCAAGGTGGAAGCAGGCGGATGGGGTGGTGGCGGCGGAGGGAGCTGAGGGTGTAAGAGGAAGACATGCAGGTGTGTGTCCTTTGGAGGTGCGTGTCCACCCCCACAGGACTCTGTGAGGCAGAGGCAGGCCACGTGCCTGGATGACTACGCGTGGGTATGTGCCACGTGTGTACGTGAGCGTGCAGCTGTGTCAGTGAGAGCGAATGTGAGTTTGGGGCCCATGTGGAGATCCCCGGACAAGCCATTCTGCAGCAGCTCGGGCTGTCTAGGTTGCTGGCCATGCCCCAGGGGGTTTCTATTTCAGGAAGCTCAATCAGAGAGACTTATACTACCTGCCTGATGCTTGCTCAGGTCTGGGTGACCATGGTTGGGAGTGCTGACCATGTTGCCCTGCCCAGAGGTGTGTGTGGGAATGAATGAGTCACCCAGGCATGGCTGGCCCTGGTTCTGCCTTCTTCTTACCCAGCAGGGAAGACAGTGGGGAGGGGGAGAGAGCACTCAAGAGCTGTATTTTACACCATCATTATGCAATTGCGTGCTGTGTCCGTGCATTTTTCTGAAGGCTCAGCACCCCGACTCTCTTAGCCTATGTACCTCCAATCCATTTGCGTCCAAGTTACAGTTTAGATCAGCGGCTCTGCCTCACAAACATTTTTGGCAGTCTTCTCCATACCAGGCTTGGGTCCACAAATTTATGATGCCAAGCCACCCCCAGTCCTTTCCCATCCTGTCTTCCTGGCTTTAATTTTCTCTACAGCACTTATGCCTATTTATCATATTATCTATTTTACTTTTTGTCTATCTTTCCCTTAATAGCAAATGCCTATACAGTGCTTGCTCTGTGCCAGGCCCTGTTCTAAACTCTCTATTGATTCACTGATTCTCCAACAATTCTAGACAGCAGTGATTATTATTCCTGCCATTTTGCAGATGGAAGGGCCTGAGAGGGAAAATAGCTTGTCCAGGATCATTCTCCCCATAAGTGACAGAGCCAAGTTTGGGTCTGGAGTTCCTAATCTTACCCAGCACAAAATATTGTCCTGTGAAGGTGGGGAATTTTCTCCGTTTTGGTTCACAGTTGAAACTTCAGTGGTTAGTAATAGTGCGTGGCACATGTAGGTGCTCAATTAATAGTCAATGAAGAAATAAGTGAATAAATGCTGAATAGGGAGGACGCAGAGTGGAAAGAGAGGTGCTTGCCTTCAAAGAACTCATAGTCCCATGAAGGAGACAGATAAATAATTATTGCAATAATAAATACCATGTCAGGATGGCATTATGGGACTCTAGAGAGGTTTAAAACTCAGCTGGACCCTGGCAGAGAGGGCTTTCCAGAGGAAGGACACAGGCATGATGACATTGCCTACCTACTCCCAACTCCTCCCTGGGGAGAAGCCCTCTAAACCCTTTTTGCCTCACAGTCCACAGGGTGCCTGAAGACAACAGTAGTTCTTTGGGGATGTTGGAGCAGAACAGGGAAGCAGCAGTCAGCACAATGGCTCTGGAGAGAGACTGCCTGGACTGAATCCTCCCTCTACCAAATACCAGCTAAATGACCTAGAACAGGCAGCCCAACTCCCTGGGCCTTGGTCCCCTCATCTGTTTAACAGGGTAGCAAATGATACCAGCTTCCCTGGGCACTGCATAATGCAGGTAATGAGCCAGCTTCAGTGGAGATGACTAATATTCCTTTTCCATTCTACATTGTTTCCTGGCTTTGGGGGAGGAAAGGGAGAGAGTTGGAATTAAACATATTGTGCTTATTACTATAACCTCTCTGCTATGGATTGATTCCATTTTTTCAGTAATGGCTCAAAGCCAAATTTACCCATGAACCTTTGTTAGGACATGGAATATGTCTGTTTTATCTACCATTATATCTGAAATACCTAGTATAATGCCTGAGATATAGATAAATATTTGTTGAATGAATGACTGATTACATATATTTAACCTCCCAAGACCTCTGCGAGGATAAATATTCATGTTGCTGTTGTTTCCATTTACAGATGAAGGACTGGAGGCCCGGCAAGGTTAAATGACTTGTCCATGAACACACAGCCTGTAAACAGATCAACCAGACTTAAATGCCAAAGCCCGTGCCTTTTCCTCCACACCATGGCTACTCTCTGGACTCCTATACATCACGTCCCACTTTCTGTGGATTTTTTTTCTATCCAGAGGGGCCATCCCTGATTGTAGAATCATCTCTGAATTCTATGACTCATCTCTGAATCACAGAACTGTTTAATAGTTGAAAGGGACTTTTGATGTCATCTAGACCTCCCACCCACTGTGGAAATTTCCTCTCCAATGCTGTATTCTCAATACTTGAATGACTCCAGTGATGAAACACTAATTCTCTTCCTCTGGAATCATTAAGTTCTATGACTGGATCACTTTTAGAGACAGAAAGTAAGTTCTGTATCCCTTGGGCCAACAGGTCTCTCTTTCATTTTTACATACTGGGCTTACATCCTCCTCCTAAGGCACACAGAATGGGTCTGCTGACCTTCCATGTGATGGCTGCAGATATTGAGACATCCCTTCAGAGAACTCTTTTCTTCAAGCTTGCTGTTCTGGTCCCCACAACTCTTCTGTGAGATGCTCCGTCCCAGACTAGCTCAAAGGTCCCTCCAAAGGGAGCAATGGCTCCCCTACTGGACAAGGGGTGAACTGCACCGAAGGGCTCACTAGGCAGGATAGCTGAGGAGCTTCCTGGGGAGCCTGGGCACCAACACTGGTGTGAATAAAATAACTGCCTTTTCTCTCTCTCTCTCTCTCTCTCTCTCTCTCTTTTTTTTTTAGAGAGTCACTGCTTTAGTGTCACATCTAGTTGTTTGCGACATCAATCTTAGAGGGTGTCACATGGAGACTCCATTCTAAGGTTTCTTACCAACCATGAGGTTTCCGACAAGCTGCTGGTTTAGGACTTCAGTTAGAATTCAAAAGGCTATTTCTTAAGAATTTTTTTCTTTAACCAAAAACTTTGTAAGAGGGATATGAAAAGCTGTGCTTTGCTATGGGATTATGATGATTTTCTTTTCTTTCTTTTTCACTTGTCTTTATTTTCTAGTATTGCTACTATGGACATTTGTTATAAGAAAAAAAATTATAAAAAGGAGGAAACATACATTTAAAAATCCTCTCCTTGCCCCTTTCCCTTTATTCCTTCCAAGATTGTTCATCACGACCTGGGTATGTGGTCTCCAACTGGTAGGGCATGCTGCCACCCTGTGGGCAGGAGTGCCTTGGTAACATCTCCGTGGTGACTGCAATGGCTGGGGTTCAGACAGCCAGGCTCCCAACAATGTGGTCAAAGTCTGCCCAACACATTGCTGGTCAGCAGACATGTCCCTCTGAGCCCTCCACCTCTCAGCACAGCCATAGCTGCCCTTTCTTCCTGGCTGCCTAGAGAAGCTCCAAACGCTAGCAGGTCAGGAAGACATCAGAGATGAGGAAACTCCCCATTTAAACCTGGAGCAGCTGCACTGTACCTCTGGACCAAGATCACAGTTAACCAGACTTTATTCCAGCCCCATGTCAGCAGGGGCCCTCTCTCTGCTGGGAGACCCCGGGGCACTTGGATGCTGGGGGAAACTTACCCGGCAGCCTCTCACTGCAGCACATGTCCAGGGCCCCTCCCTCGGAGTCATCAGCGGCGAGGCTCTCTCTCTCACTCCTGCAGCAGGATGAAAGATATGAGATGAGGCTGTTGAGCCTGGATCAGGACAAAATCCCAAGCAAAGATAAAAAGACTTCAGCACTCTGTCCCTTAAGTAGCCTCACCTTATCAGAGGGACCTGAGGGAAAGACCAGTCTATCAAATAGGTTAGACACCTGCAGAATTTTGCAGGTGTCTTCCATGTAGAATCATCAACATCACCATCTTCCCTAATATGGGGGGCTTACTTTGTGCAAAAGCACTTTACAAACTTTACCATGTTGAGTTCTCACCATGACCCCATGAATCAGGGGTCATTAAACAAGTTCAGAGAGATTAAGTAACTTGCCTGGGATCACAGAGCTCATTAGAGTGGAGCTGGGTTTGAAATCATGGATTCCAAGCTCATGTTCTTATTGCTCTGTAGTTCTGCTTCCTAAATCCTGTGGTTTTGAACCAGGGCTGAGCAAGAAGAGGGGTCTGGTAACCACAGTCCTGTGTCCAGCTCACCAAGATGTGCAAGAGCCGTGGGCCTCAGGCAATGGAAAGCAGCAGGCAGAATTCTCCAGAAAGAGCTAGAAACAGGAGTGATGTATGTATTTTGCATCTTCTAAATGTTCTCTTTCTGAAATTAGAAAATCCTCTTTCTAGTTCATTAAGGTAACTTATAGGATTGTCCTAGTCTAACTTTCCTTCTTTACCCAAGAAGCTGGAAAAAGACGGTGGAGATCAGTTAGACCCATGCATGGGATTCAGAACTGACGGACCTGAAGGGCACCTGCACTGCTCACAGGGTCCCCTACTCTGGCAACAGCATGAAATGCAGGGGAGAACTCCAATGGCCCCATCTGCCCTTCCGGTCTCTGGCCTGTGGCAAATGTGGGTTGATCAAGGCTGAACACACAAACCAGGGCAAGTCCACCAGAACCTCTCTCCTGCACAACTGTAATGTATTCTGGAGGCCTGGAGCCCACAGCTGCTGGTGCTGAATCATGGTAGTGGTCATCCCCTGGAGAGAAGGGCCTCAAACGCCTGCTTCCAAGGGCCCCAGAGCAGCCTCATTCCTTCCTGTGCTGAGTCTTGATTGGACGACATATTCATCAAGACCATGAGATGCCCCAGGATCCCTCAAATAAGTCATTACCTTCTAGCTAAGCCAGGGGGATTTTTTCCCCCCTGAAACTGACATCAAAACAATCTTTAACACAGATGTACTAGCTCATTGCTCCTAAGATGCCCAGGAGGTCAGCTGTCTCCCTACCCACCTGACAGGGAATCTTGCCTCTCACTGGTCCTGAGGCCTGTTTCAGGTCCAACTGCAGATTTTAAACAATTAAGGGCAGGCAGGCCAGGTCAAGGATAACTCTTCACATTTTGATATTTTCTTCTCTTAACTGACATTGTGTTGTTTTATTTTTTCCTCACTCCAACTGGCAGAGTCTCTGAGTCTCAGGGCCCAGTGTTCCTGCAGAGAAAGGGCTACTATCTTCCAGCCAAATGACAAACTGTAAGGGCTCTCTTTCTTTGATGGTCTCTGGCATCCACTGAGGCTGGCCTCCAAGACCTTCTCCACATGGCCCCAATGCACATGGCCTATAGAGGTTGCCCAGTTTATACCCTGCACAACTGGATGAGGCAGGCTTGAGCTAGAATCAAAACTGAAATTTGTCACATAACCTTCCTTGAAAAAAAATACTTTCATGGCATCCTTTTATACTTAGAACAAATATAAACATCCTTTGGCACAGTTCACTAGCTCTTGTGTGATGTGGCCTCATTTATTCCTCCAGCTTTATTGCATATCCTTCTGCCCCCAACATCTACATTGCAGCCACTCTGGACAGGGTCCTTCCCTTCACAGTTTTTTGAACATGTTTTCTTTGCCTGGACAGCTCCTCCAGCTCTCCCAGTTTTTTTTTTTTAATTTTTATTTTACTCATAGCACTTGACACACTTGGGAATTCATTTTAATTTATGCCATTGTTTGATTAACTAGTCTCAGACATTAGACTATGGGCCACATGAAGCCAGGGACCGCCATTGCTGTTTTATTTACCATTGTGTCTTCAAAGCTGAGCACAGTGTCTGACTCACAGTAGGACGTTCAAGGTTTCCCTGACATTCTTAAAAAAACCTCAGGACTTCAAACATAGCCATCATCTGAGATAATCTGTGGCACGTCCTTGTTAAGCTATTTGGAACCCTCCCCCACAGCTGCTGTCCAGCACAGTTAGAGAAACACAATCTGGAAGGGCTCTCCCTTTACAGAGGAGGAAACCGAGGCAGAGAACAGGAGTCTGACTTGCACCAAGCTATAGACTGAGGTTGTGGCCTCAGGGTTCAGGCTGAAGAACTCCTATCTCCGACCTGCCAATCATGAGCTTTCTTTATACCAAGGAGCATGCTCGCCCAGGAGGGCTGACCCATGACGGGGTGGGGGTGGGGTAGAAAGTCACCAGGGTATCCTCTGGAAGGGACCCAGGTGTGACTCACACCTGCTTTCACACCTTAAGCCTACCAGGCCCCCAGCCGCATTCAGAATAGCTCAGTGCTGCCTGTGTGCAGCGGACTCTATAAATAAGCTTCCTAGAAAATGACTAATTTCATAATCAGAGAAGCAGAAAGAGTAGCACTTCCCAACTGCAGGGGAAAAATGGAACAAGGGCCTGCTGCTCTGCCCCGTGGTAGAGAACTCCAGGAACCCCCTAGGGCAAAGCTGTGCATCTGGGCTATTCAGGGGAGGGTTTAGCAAGATTTTCAAAACAGAGATGGCCCATGTAAACCGGATGAAGAAACCCCATCTCTGGGCACTGCCCTCCTCCCTGCCCACCAGGAACAGAAATAGCTGCTTATAATGGATTGCTATAGGCTCTCTCTCTCTCTCTCTTCTTCCATTTCTATCAGCGGGGCGATAGGAGCAGAAAACTGTCCTGTATCAACAGACTGCAACTTGCTGGGCTGGCCCCCCACTGATGCTTTTAGAACATCTTTTCAGAGAACCCCAGAGATGGAGGTGCTCATTTGACAAGCATCTGCTGAGCACCTCCTGCAGGAAAGGCCCAGAGCTGTCCCAGGAAAACAATAGTGAGCAAGCCAGGCCACTGCTTACCCTCTCCTGACTTTTCAAGGAGAGAGACAAGTAAACATGACTGCACCCGGATGCCTGCTTTAGTTGATATATACACTAAACTAAAGGGGGAGGCTCAGGTCAGTTTGTGGTGAGGGAGCAGGGAGAAAGGAAGTCTTCTCCAAGGGGCAGACAAGACCTGATTCTTTTTTGGGGGGGATGGGGGTACTGGGGATTGAACTCAGAAGCACTGGACCACTGAGCCACATCCCCATCCCTATTTTATATTTTATTTAGAGACAGGGTCTCGCTGAGTTGCTTAGGGCCTCACTTTTGCTGAGGCTGGCTTTGAACTCATGATCCTCTTGCCTCAGCCTTTTGAGACTCTGGTGTGCGCCACCGTGCCTGGCCAGGAGCTGATTCTTAAAGGATGTTTTTAGGTAGATGATGGGTTGCAAGGGGAAGAACTTTTGGAGCAGTGCAAATAATAAAAGCAGGGCTTGAAGGCCCAAGATTCATGGAAACTTTGGCACTAATGAGAAGTCAGCTGGCCAGTGGGATGGGGAATCAGGCTTCAGTACAGGCACATGATCAAGAAACAGGCTAGACATGAGGAACCTTGCCCCAGGAGGGCAGCCCTCCTCCACTCTACCGTGAGGCTTCCCTGCATTGAGAGGGGGCATATGCTCCCCTTGCCTGGACTGTGGTGGGGAGATCTGTAACAGGAAGGTGGCATATGTTTGTAGAATGGACATTAGATTCAGCTGGTGGCATCTTCTCTGATCCCAAACTACTCCCATTTTAATTGTGATAAAATTCATAAAATTCACCATTTAAAGATGTACAATTTGGAAGCATTTACTACATTTATAATGGTGTTGCAACCACCATCATTATCTACTTCCAGAAAATTTTTATCAACCCCAAAGGGAACCCCATGTACTCATTAAGGAGTCACTTCCCATTCTCCCCTCCCCCAGCCCCTGGCAGCCATTAATTTGCTTCCTATGACTTGCCTATCCTGGATCGTTCATATAATTGGAAGCATTTTGTTTGTTTTCTTTCACTTAAAAGAATGTTTTCTAGGTTCATACAAGTTGGTAGTACGTGTCAGTACTTCATTCCTTTTTGTGGCTGGATAATTTTCCACTGTCCATTTGTCCATTTCCATTTATCAGCTGATAGATTTGTCAGCTGATGGACATTCAGGCTGTTCAGGCTTTTGGCTATCATGAACAGCATTGTTATGAACCAAACTACGCTTTCCCATTTGTTCCCAACAGCCTTATGCCTTTGGATCCTTTCCTTGCCCTGGGCCTGAGTCCTCACCTATAAAATAAGGTGGTCAGACGCTAAACCCCTTGCAACTCAAATGCTAGCACCTTCATCTGTTCCTTTGTGTCATGGAGGGAATATTACCTTATAGCTATTCTACCAGTGGGCAGAGGAGCCCGAGTCTGCTTCCAGGATGGGTGACAAGTGAGGAGGAGCTAGGATACTGAAGTCAGGATTCCTGGGTGTGAGACTGAGCCAACCCCAAGCAGATGAGGTCTGTGCCTTGGACTTCATGCCCCTGGACCCCTCTGAACACTGCTGCATGGAGTGCTTACCAATCTCCTAAGGCTCCAAGTCCTCCAGACATCTCTATTCACTGAATCAAACCTCTCGAGGCCTTTGTTCATGCTGTTCCTCTGTCTTGCCAAATCCTATTCGTTCCTACTTGTTCTTAGGCATATCCTCTTCCATGAAGCATTCTCTGATCTCCGAGAAGAACCAAGCTGTCCTGCCTCTGGGTTCCCCACACACCTGGCTCCCACTTCTGTTGTCTCTTACTTTGTTCTGCTGCTATAATTAGCTGTTTATGCACCTGCCTCCCCCACTGGCTTTCTGAGACTCTGGAACATCCTCATCCCCTCCACCACTGCGTATCTAGGCATTCAGCACAGGCCCTGAGCCTATTAATGGACATGTTAAAGGTCAAATGCAGGCCAGTGGCAGGGTCTCAGGGTTGGTAGCTTTGGATTTTCTGGGAGGGCAGACTCTAGTTAAGAGCTTCTCAAGCTAGAGAAGATGGCCAGATCAAGGCCAGGAAGAGCCCATAATGCCACCCAGAATATTCAGCACGCAGGAGCAGAGGCCATGCTGGCTTGGTGGAGAAGAAATGATCAGGCTGGTCACCACATGCAAGTGAGTAACAAATCACAGAGCATGCAGGTGGAGAAGGCTTGGCCTCCTCAATGGGTGGGCTGTGGGGCACCACACACACTCACCTAGCTCCCTCAAACTTCATTCCCAAGGTGTCCGGATGGGGAAAGGTGCCATCTGAGGCCAGGGTGGGAAGTTTCTCAGCAAAAAGCAAACTGGAGATGTGAATGGAGGAAGAGAGGCCAACTTCAGAACATCCAGATGGAAAAATGGAGGCCCAGAGAAATGACTTACCTCAGGACACACAGCATGCTAACAAATGTTTTCAGGTAGTACACAAAATTCTGAGATTTACCTCTCTCCTGATCTGGTACCCTGCCTTCCCCTCACCATAGGGAGGACCCTCAAACCAAAGCTCTGTTATCTGGTACTTCAGTGTCACACCCCTCAAGCCTTCTAATAAATCTCTCTGCTGCCTAGGTTACTCAATCAGTTTCTGTTGCTGGCAGCCAAAGAACCCAGACTGATCTGTGCAGCAAACTCGGGGAACAGATAGGCTCTGAGCCCAGGACTCCCAATGCTTAGTTCACTGCTATTTCCATCTTTCCAAGCTGCCTACCCTCCTGGCCCAGCTGTCCACTGTCCAGCCATCTGTCCCCAGGTCTGAGCACACTGCAAACTTGGAGTGTTCTGGATCCCAAACACAGGGTCTGAGTGTTCTCTGGGTGGGATGGACCCAGATGAATGAATTCCCTTTCATCCCTACCCTGGTGATGGATTTGGGGCCTGGGCATGACTGAATCCTCCACAGAACAGGGATGGCAGGGAACTCATGGGTCCCATGAAAGGGAAAACGGAAAGTCACTGGGCCTGCTCAGCTTGCTGAGAGGCTCAGGCAACAGTTTTCTATCTTTTAAGTGAGTCTGATTCAGGGACTGGCTGAATCTGATTCGGGATTCATTTGTTCAACATGTGTTTACAAAAACCTACTGTGTGCAGACCACATGTGAGGCCCCTGGGAACATAATGAGCTATAAGCATCTCCTGGGGGATGTAGGTTAAAAAAATGGTCAGGGCCAGGGGGCATGTCTGATGGGACACATGCAGTTGACCCTAGGAGCACTGCTGAGGTTCCTAATGATGCATAGGAGTGACGGGGATGAGGAGCAGGAGTGACTGACTGCGGGTGGTGTCCAGGCAGAAGGGGGGCACGTGAATGGGCCTGGAGTTGAGAGAAAATAGGACACATTTGAGGAATGGAAAGACTTCAGTCTGACAAGGCCAGCATGGAGAGGGAGTGTGGCAAAGGACAGGGCAGTTGCTGAGCCGCTCCTTGGTGATGTTTTCCTTTTCCCTTCCCTTGTTTCCAGAGAGGTAAGAGATGTTGTCTAGTGGCCCTGGGGGAGGTTTGGTGGCAGGCCCAAGGGCATATTCCCCGAGGAGTTGTCCTTCATTTTCTGTGTCCTGTGGGTGCTGAAACCCTTGAGGGGAGTCTCTTGATCAGGATGGTGAAGGTGAGGGAGTGGAGGCCATGTCTAGGCTTAGGAAGCAACAGAGCCAGCAGGTTCCAAGATCAGTGCCTGATGTGTGTGAGGGCCATGGCAGGATCACCTGGGAATGGCTTTGAGGTGCATGGAGAGGGCCAGATCTTAGACTAGGGTTTCTGTGCCCCACATAGGCAAACCCCACCCAGGGCAGAGTCAGTGGACCCTGGAGAGGCCTTTAGGCTGGAGGGGAAGGAATCTCAGATTAATCAGTGTGGTTTCCTTGATGGATGGCGGTCATAGCAGCAGGTAGAGACAGGTTCCCGGTAATGACTCAGATTGACTTTCCCAGTAGCCAGGGCTGATGGGGAGCTCTGAGTGCAGCCTTGTTGCATTTAAGAAACACAATAAGGCATTTCTTCCATACCTGACCAGAGATCTGGCACCAAGAGTGGACTCTTGACCTGGGACTGTCAGGTGTGATAATCCAGGGAAGAGAAAGGGGGTGTCCTGGCTTGGGCTTGCTGGACCACCTCCCCCAGATGCTTGGGCTTTCAGACTGTAACTGCCTCTCCCTCACCTCCATGACCAGGAAGCATAGTCCCCTGCCTGGATGCCATCACCTCTTGCACCCCTCCTCAAAATCTAGTTCAGGCTTTAAGCTCCAGCTGAATCTTCAAGTCCCCCAGAAAGCCTTCACTGGGGAAGATCTTTACTTGGTTCCAGTCAAGCTGGGTGGCTTTGGAAAGGGTCTTTATCACTATGGGACTGAACTTTTTTTTATTTGGCAAATAGGGATGATGATGCTTTCCACACAGGATTGGGGTGAGGTTTACCATTGAACAAGAAAAATGTGGAGGTGACTATCATGGGGTCTAGTAAATAGCAAGTGTTCAGAGCTATGCAAATGACCAACAGAGGCACAGCACAGAAGAGGAATGAGGGTGCTGGTGGGGAAGGTGAGAAGGCAGTCAATGCACAAATTGCAGCCAAGGGCCAGGACCTGGCTTCTAGAAAGCGGGCCAGGCTCTGAACTCTGCCTACCTGCCTTGGCAGTCTTAGGATGAGTGAGGCATCTAAGGACTGTGCATAGTTCTTGGGGACAACAGGAATGAGTTTTCAAGCCTGCCTATGCTTGTGGTTTGGTCCAACGATCTGGCATAATTAAATTTACTGCTACCCCTGTGCCTTGAGGAGACGGCTGCAGGGAGGCGTCGAAGGTCGCCATCCTGCAAAACCCTTACCTTGGGTGTGGTGGGGACAGCAGAGACACACAAAGGTTCTCTGCTCATCTTGGTCAACACACTAGGACCTGAGCAGCAGAGGCCAGCTATGTGGGCAGCATCAAGAGAGGTCAGGGAACTCCAGGCTGAGGTCAGAGCATTATGTCCTGACCTCATCTTTGGGGGGAAGAGGCAAGAACCTCACTGTGGTCCAGCTCAGGCTCTCCAGCCTCTCCCTGAGGCCACTCCTACTTGCTCTCAAAACCCACATTCTTTTTCTCTCATGGTTGGTTGGTGAGGATGGAAAGCAAGTGGTGACCAGAAGGAGGAAAGTGGGCAGAATCAATCTTTGGGTCACTTGTTCAGGAATATCTTCCACAGCCCTCTGCCTGATAAAAAGATGACAATGACAAAAGTATCAACAATAGAAAGAGCATCTGTCCCTGGGGAGCCCTTACCATGCAATGCTGCCATTGAGTGCCTTGCACGTGTGATATTCAGTTCTTATGACAGCCCTGGGAGAAACACACTATCATTACCTGCATTTTTCTAGAGGGCAACATGGAGATTCAGAGAAGTGAAGCGATCTGCCCAGTGCCTCACAGCTGGTAATTACAGATCTGCCTGCCACTGCCCATATTCCTAACCTCTCTTTTCTTCTACTTTTTAGCCTTTAGTAAAAACCATACTCTTCAAAGAGGAAGAGAGTACCCAGTATAACAGTTGCTATATTTTCTTTTAGAGAACCCTCAACATAATCCACTGGGTAGCATGTAGGGATGACCATATTACAGATGAAGAAACTAATGTCTGCTGGGCTCATACAGCGGGTAAGTTAGTGGAGGAGCTGGGGGTACGGGTGGGGGTTGCCCAACAATCCTGAAGGTGCTCCCTGCTGTGCCTTCCCAGGAACTGAATGACTGGAAGCCCAGTCTTGGACACGACTGTAGGTTTCTCCACTGAAGTGGCACCTCCAGGAACTGGGAGGCAGGTATGGTGGGGAGTGTGGGATGGTGTCTGCTGTGTTCCATCAATGAAGGGACAAATATATTCACTGGCTAAGGACCCACCAGCTCTGGGCTGTGGTCACAGGCTGGGTATATTGTGTGACTGTGGTCCAGTCATTTCCCCTGATCTGAATCTCAGTAGCCCCAAAGAGAAATCAAAGGGTAAGTGAATGCCTTTAGGGGCCTTTCCTTACAGGACAGTCTTTGGTTCTGGGACCAAGAGCAAGGAGGCAGATGGTGGAGTGGCAGTGCACCAGCAGAGGGCACTCACAGCAGCAGGGAAGCAAGGCCTTGGTCCATGGAGCCTAGGTAGAGGCTGCCCCAGTACCAAGCAGAGGGGAGGCTGTTCCACCGAGATTATCTGGTGCTGTGGGTGGACTCGATTATAAACTGTGTGGTACACAGGACCTCAAAGGAAGATCATAGAACTTTGGGGTTCAAAGTTCATCTGGTCTAACCCCCTGCTCCCCAAGACTGCTCCCTCTCTTTATAACCCCCCCCCCCCAGGTATACAGTTTAATTTACAAGGAGAAAACAGGCAGTCATAAACATGAAAGTGTGATCACACCTCTTATAGGAGTGTTCTGGTATTTCCTTTTAGTGAGATGCTGCTCCTGTCTGCAATGCCTTGGAATGTACTTCCTCTCCCCTGGGAACCACTCTCCCATTTCCTTTCTCTGCCTGGAAAACTCTCCTTTGCTCTTTAAGACCCTCTCAAATGTCACCTGCAGCAGAACCGTCCCTGTCTCCCTCAGGAGAGCTGGATGCTCCCTTTTCTTTTCTCACCTCTCCTGATGGGGATTATCTGCTGATGCCTGTGTCCTTCCTCACAAGAGTGTCTGTACCCAAGCCTGGGGTTTGTAATCACTGTGACTTCCCAAAGTGAGGGATCACTGTGAGCTGGATGCCATGCCAACCACTGACCTGGCACAATGTCACTGTTCCTCACTAGAACCCTAAGCAGTAAACAGCCATCTTCCTCCTTCCACACAAGTGGAGATGGGGACACGGAAAGAATGAGTCATTTGTTCAAGGTCACACAGTTGACACATTTGAGAGGAGCAGACTTCAAACTCACTTTGCTGCAGCTCCAGGTCCAGGCTTTGTTTAAGCCTCCAGGTTTAGAGCCTCTTGATATGGACCTTCCTGTTTGCCATGCCTACTCTATCTGGCACCAGGCAAATGTTTAAATACTATTTCTCAAAAAGTTAAATGAAAAGTGGATAGGGTTTGAGCATTTACAAATGGCTCATTCAAAACACCACAAAAGTGGTGGGCTGTGGCACTGGATGGCCCAAGTGTGAATCGTGGCCGCCCTATTGGCTGGCTGAATTTGGGTGAAATATGTGACTTCCCTGTGTCTCAGTTTCTTCATCTGTGGAGATAACAGTATGCACCTTTAGAAATGGTTATGAAGATTAAGTGAATTTTGATTTTCACACACAGTTTTTACATGTGATACATGTAAAATGCTTAGAACAGGGCCTAGCATATTCCAAAA